ACCGACCGTGTTGATACTGGTTCTGGCGCACCAACAACTCCATCTGGGCCGTGAGCTTTTCGACTTGAGCTTGAAGCAACTGTATCTCCGATGCAGCAGATGGCTTGACTGCAGCAACAAGTGCTGGTGCTGGAACGGCAGCACAGGCCTGAGCCGGTGACGGGGAAACTTCAACGATTTTGTCCGCGAGCTTAGCGAGTTGTGCGATGTCGACGTCGCTTGTCGAGGCCAAGATCAATTGGATGTTTGTTGGCAGGCGTTGCATGAACAACTGCTTCAGGATTGCAGGCTCCAGTGTGTTATTGCCGAGGAGTTGTTCCATGGTGCGAAGTAACTGCGAGGGCTTCTTATCTCCAAGCTCTTCTGTAGTCAACAGTTTTTGGAGGCGCTTTCGCTCCGACTCGCTAGTGCGTTTGATGAGCTCCTCCTTCAGTTTGGAATATGGGTTATCAGCCGGTGGGTTGACTAACAAGTCCCTTACTTCCTGCGCAATGGATGGTTGTAGAGATGCGATCACGTACGAGTATTTCGTGAGCTCCGATTTGATGCCCCGGGTAAGAAACTGCGCCTCAACTTGTGCGAACCATATCACCGGGTCGTTGGGCCAATACGGTGGGAGTTTCAAAGCTACTGCACTGACTGGTGATGCTCCAGAAGACCCTCCAGAATCTGGGTTTTGCGGCTCCGATTTGGTAGCCATCGCACATTTTTGGGTCACCACTTTGGGGAATGCGAGTTCGTTACAGTCAAGTGTCACTCACCCAATTCTGTTCCGATGTGTAAGTGCGGTACTGTCCAACTGTTCTCCCGCACGGTGGCTGGCGGTAGAATTTGCCTCGACTACCGCGAGACGAAACCGATCCTGGTCCCGCGAATATATATTTACAAATGTTCACAAGGTTACCGACGGACGGACGAAGACGACGAGAATTAACTAACTAGTATAAAACTTGGAATTGCTGACGAATAACGATGATAAACTGGCAAAACTTGGCACTTCGAATTTACAGGAACGCGACGTTATTAAGACGTTAGAACGAAGGGGCACGTCCTTCGCACGTGTTTGTGAACCAACGAAAAGTCTATGTGAAACGCGTATTATGTACAGGTACCAGCGACACGCGAAAGTGCTGACAGGTCAAAGTATGACGAAATGCTGACAAAGGTCAGAGTTCGCGCGGGGTGGTCACCACAATATAAAGTGAGATGACCGTGGTCGCATCCTCTTCGTTTGAAATTTTTTAGACAACAAAGTAATGAAATGCAAACAGCAATATTGTGGTTCCTTGGCAACTGATGACATGGATAGACTCGTCGGCAACATGGTCGTAAACATGGGCGCTTAATGCAATAAGTTCATCTGTGCACGATAGTGTCAATAAAACAAGACGCTACAATTATGAAGAGAATTTCAGTAGAATGCACAAGGGAGAATCCAAGTGAAATAAATATATAAACGAGAACATCATTTGAAGGGGAAAAAAATTGAAGATCTGCTTTGTCAAACAATTTTAGAAACGAGAAAAATTGAAATACCAAGCAAAATGCTTGGCTGAAGAAAGTCTTGCTAAAAAAAGAGTGATAAATTAACGAAAGTATAAAGGAATTTACTCACTAAACAAAATTCTGGAGAGAGGTTTTATTTGTACATTCCGTTTACAACCCTTTCCTCTAAACCTGCTTGCACTCCACTTTTATTTTTTTTACGTTTGCTGCTTGTCTTTTCATCTAAATACTTAGATTTCAAAGATAAGCTTGCTTGTTCGTTCTTTTCTTTTTCTTGAAGTCAACCCTCTAGTATCTGTCTTATCTTGTCCCATCTGTTTGTCTTGTCCGTTTATTTCCCCAAGGAGCAAATTGCTCTCGTGTCAAGTTTGTCAACAGTTCCTGTCTGTGTGGTTGCCTGTTTTATTCTGTCTCTCTGTCTTCGATGACCAATGTTTGTCCATGGGTCTGTTTTCTTTGGAAAGATCTGCCTGGTTCAGCTGTCCGGGTTGCCAGTTATTACACTCATTGTACAACACATGTGCTGTCTGCATGTCAAGAGTCATACATTTTTGTGCCTATGCATGGAAAAATAACACAGACACATGTTTGCATCGAGTACCTCCTCTCACCCCAGCCTCTAAAGATCTTGGTTTTTCTTTTCCATGTTTTAACTTTTAAGACTGCTCTAACCTCTAAAGCTTTTTAATCTGTTTTGACGGTCTGTTTTATCTGTTTCCCTCTTCTTTTTTTCTTTTTTTATAAATGCTTGTTAACATGCCATTGTCCACATATGGACAAACCCTGGCATGTGCGCTCTATTGTACAAAGCAGCTGACCTGTGGCGGATTATCTGAACAATAGCTAGCACAATGCTTTCGCCATTGAAGGGGGCCTTCGTGATAGAATTGTGGCGTGCCTGGATTGGTGTATAATTCACAACGCCATCACTGCAGATCCATCAGTGAAAGAAGACCCATTGCTTACGCTGTAATGTTCAGTTACAATGGAGCAGTATGCCAAATGTTTTTTGTAAGATTCTAAAGGATTCCAAAAGGTTTGAAGGGAAAACAAACATTTGATTGGTTACCAATCTAAATTAGATCCCATCTAAAGCCTGACGGTGATGTGATTTTGCAACCAACACGAACCTCGCACTATGGAGGACTAAAAGCATTGCTTTCTGTCAGCATATCTTAATTTCTTTTCACTGAACAATCACCTAAACTTTTCCAGTGCATGTAGTTTGGTCTTTAGGCTACGGGCCATGAGTCAACCTCCTCCCCCTCCCCCCCCCCCCATACATTCAGTCACTAACTTCAGTCGCCAAGTACTATATCAGAGTCTGTGTCTCCTGTAGCAGTGCCTGTCACGGCCAATACAAACGTCTCTTGTTTAATTTAGACACCATGAAACACCACGCACCTGATCATGTCTGATTTCATTAATCAACGGAAATACAGTCCTCGATTCTTGGGATTACGTGCGACAGAAAATGTAATGAGCAGATTTGTTCCGAGATAATTTAATCAGTTAATGTTGGGTTCTTTGATTTTTATTTCATTCATTTAGTTCTAATTCAATGGATTTGTTTTTGTTATCAAACGGATTAAAAATTTTAAGAGGAGACAAAGCAACATAGAGTTATTCAAGGAATATGCACAAGTGTACATGTACTATTTATTTCAAAGATGTAACAAAATAAAGAACAAAAAATGAACATTCAAAATTATGAAAATTGAGTTTGATGATTAATACTTATATTTTAAATTAAATTTAAAAATTCTTGCTGATATTTGTTACATTAAGGGTAACTTGAAACCTCTGGATGGCTTGTTAGTACAGTTTGACTAATCCTTGTATTTGCCTAAGTCCCCAGGGGACCATGCACATACCAGCTGCGGTACATGTCACAGACATATGACCATGCTCAACATAATCCGTACATGTGCCATGCATTAACAACTCCGTCATAATGTGACAGTCTACACACACGTGATGATTATCAGTGGGACCGCCGTACACACGCACCCACCTACGTGTATGCGTGGTTATTGTGAATACGTGCACTCAGGATCGGCGGTCCGTCACGCACGACGCCGACCATTATGCGTCAAGGATTTATCTGCATGCGCGCTCTGGCGCAAACCGAGCGTCCTGAGTGGATGGGCCCCTTGGCCACGGGCAAACTGCACGCGAGCAGACGTACCCGAGAGGTGTGAAATAAAATGCCGGAGAGATGTAGATTTTTGGGGGGAGGGGGGTTCGGGTGCAGTTCCAGAAAAAAAAATGCAAGCCTGGTGTTTTTTCTTCTCCCCTGATTTATTTATGACTGAATTTGGCACACCGTCCGGATCGTGAGGCATTGATCATGAATATTGGTGCTAGTGAATGAAACAAAGCAATGATTTATGTACGAGGCGACAAGGTGTGAGGTATACAGTCATTGTAATGCAGACCCTGGATTTGGTTTTTCCCCAAGATTTGTCCGAGAGGAGAATAGTCACTCTTATTTTGAGTACAATCTGAAATTTTAGTCTCTGTTCAATTTGTTTTTGAAAATGAATATTTTATACCATAATTCTAACTTGGCACAAGTAGATTCAGTTGTATTTTGCATACATGTACACACCGGTACATGTATCATCTACAAAAAATATATATTTTCCTTGCTGCTTGTGTTCCTACATTGATTAATTTTAAACTTCCATCCTGTTTAATTTCTTTCTTTCAAGAAAAACAAAATTGCGTACTACATGTTGTGAACCCTCACTTTTAAGAAATTAATTATTTTTGTTAGTCATCTATGGTCTGCTCCTAAAATAGACAAACACATATCGTACCTGTGCATTCTGTTGTTTACAGGCATGCAACTTTTCCTCGGATCAGCTAATTTTCTCTTTTTTACTTCTCATGTGGGCCATAAAAATAGAAAACCACTGCACAAAGTTTTGGAAAGATTTGGTTTTCCTCTTTTTTCTGTGTGTGACTTCACAGTTGCTTGCCTGTGTTTAGTGTGCGAATTTCTTCATTTAGAAATTCTTGTCAGACTAAAATTTGCAACCATTTTTAATTCATGCATGTAGCTGGAAAGATTGAACACAGAATCAGGAGGCCAAGACGGTAGCGACGGAGACCACAGTTTGAAAGATTTCCAACAGTCCACGATACGCTACGCCAACCTGAAGCTGGGCCCCAGCTCAGGGAAAGACCCTGAACCACCCGCATGCAAAGAGAAAAGCGTGAGTGGAACATTTCGATTTTTAGAGATTCGGGAGGAAACAATATAAGGCTGAGGAAAAAAGACTCGGGAAAAAAAGCGTTCAATATGCTATATATTTCAAATGATATCTAAATTGTTCTTTTAAAATGTAGGGATTCAGCTGATTTCCTTGTTTTGTACTTTCGCTGTAGTGTGCCAATAAAATTTTAAAAGTTCAGTAGAAAGTGTAAAATTCCTCGCATTTTGTGATATTGCTTGCTTGTTTAAGAACTGCGTTATGAACTACTGCATCTAGAATGGACCAAATTTTAAACTTTTTGGGGGGTTGACTAAGAAAAATTTACTGAAATACTGTAGTGTTCTCTGAAAGTATCAAGCCAACTGTTTGAAATTTCCCATTTATCAAGTCATTGTTTTGGAATAAAATTTAAAACGACGTCTCAAAGATGTCTGCATACTTCAGTCACTGAAATTGAAGGCTCTCATGTTCCATCAAACTGCGTTAATCCTCATCAATTCCTCTATCCATGTATCATTTATTGATATAACTACCCCCTCCCTCCCCTCTCCCCCACCCTTAGCCTCGGGGTATCCGTTTCCATGTGCGCTCCCTGGGATGGGTGGAGATGGAGGATTCGGACCTATCGCCAGGCAAGAGCAGCTTGGCTGTCAACAACTGCATCCGGCAACTGTCCTACCGAAAGAACGACATCCGGGACACAGCTGGCATATGGGGAGAGGTAAGAAGAATAAAAGATTGTGGATAAAATCACCAGATATGTGTATTTGGAGTTTATTAATTCATTTAATTGTTTATTTATTGCGATGTCACAAATATCAATATTACCATTGCAGTGCAGCATAAAAAAATGCCACAAATTGAGTTGGTGAAGGAAATATCAAGTAAGAGTTTTCAGATGAAATTGCAAGATGTACTATTAAAGCTGGGACCTAATGGGCACGATTCAAACCGACTGGCGGTAGAAAGTTCGGAAAACAATATGCCTACATGTACTTAACTTTGAAATATCCAATGAAATCGTCGGGTGCACCACAAAGTGATGAATCTTCTATGGACTTTGTGCACACGTTACGTCACTTAGTGGAGCGACCAACATAATATTACATTTATCATGATATTCCCCTCAGAATTGAGATAGTGTACTCAAAAAAGTTATCAAAAGAGGAAAGTAAATGATTGATAGTTATCAAAAGAGGAAAGTAAACGATTGATAGTTATCAAAAGAGGAAAGTAAACAATTGAAGATAGTTAGTATAGAATAGTGTAGAAAAGACGAATGGCATATTTTATGTTAGTTTGAGAGAAAAATCTCAGACATTAATTCTGAGAACATCCTTGCCATCCTCCAAATCCATGAATGAAAGAGAAAACATGAGGTGTGGGAAAGCAAGGAAGTGTTTCCGAAAAAAAAAAATGTCAAATGAGATCAACGGATGTGTTTGGGGGAGGGGAGTATTGGTTTGGAAAGACCATGTGATTGACAACGACAAGCCCACATGCAAGCCATCCAATCTAATCAGGAGTCCGAGACGGCCAGACGGGTCCTCCCAGTCTGAAGGCAACAGGCTTGATTACATTACAGTGAGGACTCAACACGCAGACACGTACAAACTCTCCTCCTGCCCAAAAAGAAAAAGAAAAAAAAAGCATCATGAAAAAAGAGCGTGGTAAATTTGTCTGGATGTAACTAGAACATGACCAAGCCAGAGGAACAAGCATGAAGACATGCTAAGTTTGGGGGAAAAAATCATCATGTAGCCGTCATAGAGACACAGATGTCTTGTATGGCAAACCTAGTTTATTTGGTAAAAAACTGGAACACGACCAATATGCGTAAGAGTGTTAGAATAGGAATTGTCGCCTGGAAAAAAAAAGTCACGCAGAGAAAAATGTGTTCCCCCTTTGCTGCATTGAGAAGAAGAAAAAAATATCCTACCTATTTACATGTGTGATCTGATATTTGAATAATCAGTACACTTCAACACTCAGGGTTTCTGATGTGATTTACGGGAAGTTTTACTTTCATTTGCAAAGAAACACAGATATGTCTTGCTCAGCAGAGTTGAGCATGGTTAAACTTTTCTGGTGGATACTAGAAAATAGAAAAAATCTAGAAAAAAAGAGTACCCCTTTTTCTTATTTAACCCAAAAAGATACATTTAAATTTATACTCTGTCTGTGTGTGGTTTGAAATTTTAATGCCCAGTATTTTTGAGCACTCAAATATGTCAAATGTGGAAAAATGATCCACGGAAAGTTTGAAAATTAAGAAGGCAGAAATCGTCCCTTGGCAGTAAGATTGTCAAGGGAAATCAGTTGTTTCCACTTCACAAACAATACATCAACTTCATTTTGAAATCTTGTGTGGCAGGCGCAAGTGTGCACTTGCATTTACCCTGCGGGCCCAAAATGTGATTTTTTATTTTTTTTTTTTTATTCTGCAAATTTAGAACAGCCTATTTTTCAACCATTGATGGAAAGAAAAAGTAGTAGCGCAGTTGTGCTTTGTGAGAAAATTAAGGCGGTAGAAGGAATCTCAATCGAAAATGTCAAGAGAAAAGGATGATTCATATATTTTTTTATTTTTTTTTGGAGTACAGCCTCTCTTGTACACTTAAAAACTAGAGAAACAAAGCACACGTCTGTCTTGCGTACATACATATCTTCCCTCGGGCCCAGCGCGTGTTTTGTTGCATACATTTGATTGTGGAAGCGAGGTCTATAACCTGAAAGTGGAACGGGACGAATGTTGGGAACCCGTAGAGTAAAAAAAAATTAAAGTCGGAGGGAAATGTTGAAATGCAGCAGAAAGATGCTTAATGACAAGAACCGTGCTTGGGTTTCAACTGTATCACCATGTCTTACTCTCCATCTGTTAGGATGTGTGTCAAGACTGACTATTCATTTGTCTCTGGCTTGGTGTCTGTTTCGATCATAACAATGTATTACATCAGTCTGTTTTGTAGTTAAAACTGCAAATTGCACAGTATTACCCCTGACCGACACAATTATACAGATTTTCTATCACATGTTCATATGCGTCAACCCTGGAGGAGTTTACAATTAATCGCACAATTTCCTTAACAACAAAAAAAATTTAACGTTGACATTTTTGCATTAAATTCCCATCTCAGTTGTTTCATTAGCGTCTTTTCACAGTATTAAGCACAAGAGGATTTTAACTTACATTGTAATTGTTACTACTACGAATAATCACCACATATCCCTTGTGCAATGCTCTCGCTTTTCACCGTCCAACGTATAGCCCCAAGCTAGTCCAATCAGCGCACAACATTTTGCAACGTAATCTTCCCAGGGTGAGGCGGGATCACGTGAAAAGTGATGCCTCGGAAGATTTGGCCAAATCCTCGCCATAATTTTTCCTAAATTCTCCCTCGGGATTAGTCCAAGAAAAAAAAATGTCCTAAGCCTGCAGACAGCTTTGTCCCTTCTCAACAACAATTTTCCCGAAGCATCCCTTAAGACATTAACCCGAGAACTACTCGCAACCGTACAGTTGCCACAAGAAGCCATTCAAACTTAGATTAAGCCAATTCAAACCTAGATTAACAATTTCCAAAGTATTGTTTCTCCAAATGAAACCTCCAGGCATTCCGACCCTGAAATCCTTACAACAACAACAGGAGAAAATCTAGAAACATGAAGCCCCTCGCGGTCGCGGAATCAATTTATTCCGAACTCCAGACACAGCCTCAGATGCGACCATGCTGTTTGTCTGCTGTTTGTGTCAGATGGCCTATTTTTTTCGCTCGCTCTCCTTCGTCTCATGGCCTATTTTTTTTCTCCCGTCTTGTGACGCAGGGCAAAGACATGTACATGGTTCTTGAGGATGAATATCTGAAGCTGACAGACCCCAACGATGGCACGATACTCAACTCCCAGCATGTCTGCAGCATCCGCGTCTGGGGAGTGGGCCGCGATAATGGGAGGTAGGTGCAATACACCCTTTTAAAATTCACCTCCAAAAAGTCATCTTTAATATGTAAAATGAGACTTTTTAAAGATTGGGTGTCAGAAACATGTGCATTAGCTTCTTGGATGGAATGAAATTTGTAACATATGATGACATTTTGCCGACTCAGTATTTTCATTTTAAACTGGGTTAATACGAGATTTTTCTTTCTTTTTTTCCTAAGAGGGGGAATCTGATTTTGCTGTTAACAATTGTTAAAATATTCAAGCATTAAATTGGTAAATTAAATTTAATTACAAAAGTTACATTTGGATGATGGAAACGGCACTGATTTTAAAAACAGATTGTCTGAAAGATGTGCAGAAATTGTTGTTTTAAAAAAAATGTTTCTAAAGAAAAAAAACTACAAACAACATCAAGAGCAAATGGCTCAAATTTCCAAAATGTTTAGTTGTCTTAAACTAGATTCCCAGCCTATTCTAAAAATATCTTCCTGTTGAAAAAAACCCCAGTACATTTCATGACAGTCAGTTTATGTTTCCAAAGTAGTTTTCATGTTTAAAGATCTGTCAGTTTTTCCAGCCGTATCGTCTTTCCCGGCTCTTGTTGATCTCAAATCCGATATTGCGATCCGAAGAAGTACCCGAGGTATATTACAGGCATCGATCTTCTCTCTCCAATTCCCCCCCCCCCCTTTCTCTCCCCCCCCCCCCCCAGCCTCATCCGACTGTCTGACCTTTGGTCTAAATCCTGCCTCTTGCCAATCACATTATGAGGATTTGTGAGCTAACCCGGTCTGGTAAACGGAGCAGAAGCTGAAGAAAGGGGGGGAAAAAAATTGACTGAAATATAACGAAATGTGAAATCCACTTACCATAATGGGTTTTGGTTTCATTGCTCCTTCAAACCATAGGCCATTAATACTTTTCACAGGTATGATTGACAGCAGTAATCTTATTCTATATTATTACGTCTCGCTTCTATAAACAAATAAACTTAGGGTTTAGAATATGACAGATATTATGCCCTTTAGCATTTGTTTTCTTGGTAAAAAAAACATCTTGAAATGATTGATCTGTTTTGTGCTGAGGTTTTGTGTCGTCTTTTGGGGCTTTAAGCTTAGTAATCAAAGAAATTATTTGGACCAAGATGTTGTTGCTTCCTAATGTTGGATGATAATATTTTCTTTCTTTGGAATATTTAACTGCTGTGGCAGACAATAAATAAGTTGAGAACCATTCACACACCAACAAAAAAACCCACAAAAACCATAAACAGAACAAAACAAAACAAAAACACACCAATAGTCAACATTCTGTTTTTGGTTGTAATCTATTTTGCTTAGAACGACTTCACTGTGGGCAGCACCTAATTTGTGTACTTATATTGGGCCTTGTATAATGGCTATCTGAGAAGATCCCTTCAAAAAAGTACAGTGCCCCTGACAGCTGACACGATGAGCATAAATGTAATTTATCTCCATAGTGATAATTGACAAAGGAGGAAAAAGGCTGACTCTTTTTTATGATGGCTAAAGTGGATAAATGTCATTATAGAATAAATTGTACATTGATGCACTGCTCGTAGTTAAGGAGAACAAGCAGTGTTTGTGGAGACAAAGTATTATAGATGGGCTGTTTTCATTTCAATTTAGCCAATGTGTAAATGTATATTTGTCAAGATGTCACATTTAATAACTATGCAATTTATAAATGAGGACAAGTGAATAAATTGACCTTAGGCCAAAAAAAAATAAATACTCGGTCTCTGGTCAGCGCGCGCATCGATTTTAATCATGCGCGTCAACCTTTTTTTTTCTTCAAATTAACACGGAAGCTACAACAGCGCCCTCTATTGCCGCACCTCCTCAAATTTTTGTACCAAGGAGCACCAAGGAATGGGGAAATTGCACCAAGGCAAATGATAAAGGGCACCAAGGCAAATGATGGAGGACACCAATGTATAATGAGGACACAAAAAAGCAAAATAGTACCCACCTTGTCTGTACAATTGAAGCTTGAAAAAAAAAAAAAGCCACCAAAAAAAAAAAAAAACCCGCGTCGCCGCATCAATTCCGGAACTTCGGTCTGACCAGAGACCAATTTTTTTTTTTTTGGCCTTAGATCTGTCTACAAATTATACCAATACATATTCATTTCACATACATGTACATGTAGTTCTAGTTCTGGTACCTTTAATGCCAGTTAACGAGTACAGTGTGGGATCTCAAATTAGGCCCCCCACTTCCCACCCACTCCCCCCTCCAATTTTTGTTTTGTTTTGAAATACAAAATAAAAAACAAAAGATAAAAACAAAAGATAAAAAGAACAGATACAATTGTACATGTACAAAAAATTGCCTGGAATGGTGACACAATTTGGTTCATCTCCAAAAATCAGGTTCTTATTTTAATGATTATATTCCAGAAACAATGTCACACCACACCACACCAACGATTTCAGCATGAGAAGTTCAACTGGTGCAACTCAAAATCTCCAGATATTTGACAGATATTTTGACACATACATGTAATAAGTTCTTACCATAAAGCTGATGCTCATGCAAATAGCCCTGACAATAATTTTGAGGATGCTGTCAGTGGTTTTTGTGTTATTCTGCCTTTCTCCCAGCCTGAAGTAATTAACTTTTTCTTGTAATCTAATTATATCCCTTCTCGTCAACACCTTTCCTATGGAGGCCATGATTCATCTTAGAGTTTTCATTATTACTCACAGACACTTCAAACGCATTGGGGCCTAGGGAAGGGGAATTGTCGTGATGCGTGTAAGACATGGTACGTGAAGAGTGATATAGTTGGCAATTAGTTTTGAGAATTTAAAATGTAGGCCTATCTGTCAAAAAAAACACAACCCAGAAGTATACATGTGAATACTTAGCTGTGGCTACAATTCTATAGAAATATTCCTTTATTGTGCTGACCATAATTACATGTAACTCTCTTTATGTTGTTACAATATTGTGCATTTTACAAAAATCAAGACTCTTTTCGTTGATGACATTCTCTGTTTGACATTGCGCTAATATTAAATTTAAACCCTTAATGCAACTAGACCACATCTTCCCAAATCTCATCAAAAGTTGTTTTAAATTTTATTCATCAAAAACCCATTCAGTCCAGATGACATTAAAAAAGGAGGAATATTATTAAAAGATGAAAATCTTTGTCAGCATTCATTGTGATTCAATCTTCGACAAAAGTGATCAAACTCATTTCAATTTCTTTTCAATTTTTTTTCCCTTTTAAATGAGTTTTTTGAGATAGACAAAAATAATCAGATCCACCCCTTTTCGTGCCCCTCCATTCTCCCTTCGGAGTATACTGACATGAATACCGTCGCGAGCCCCACGGCGTTCGGTTGAGATTCAGCCAGCATATGAATGGCTGATGAGCCACCGTGAATCACGTTCCTACTTTAGGGAGGTTAAAAGCAGAAGGGAAGGAAAAAGGAGTTGTGTCAAGTGGCCTGGCTCATGCTAAATGTCACTATTCATTGTGTGAATAGAAATGTGCTACTTTGATCTTTTGGCGGAGTTTTTAATATGTTCATTGTCTGTGAATAAGCAGATTATTTGTCATCATTTGCAAGTTTTTGTCACGGCTCAGCAGTATAATTCATCATGAAGAATATTTGTTTCAGTTTTTAATCTTGTTTTCCTTTCTTTGTTTGTTTGGAAGTTTTGTCAAAATTAATTTTAGTGGTAAATCGTTTGTATATGGCAGATGTTGTTCTTAAACCACAAAGCCAAGATATTTTTTAACCTTTCTATCATTATTATTATTATTATTATTATTTTATTTCTCGGGAAAATATCAACAAATACATGTAAACAAATGACTAAAGTTACAACACAAAACAACAAAAGCTTTAGATACATAAACAAACAAACAAAAACAAAATACCATTCAGCTCCCGAAGGATTGCCCAAAAGAAACGTTGTTTCTGTCTAGGGGTTCTCCAAACTGAATGGCATACGTGAAAACAACAAGCAATAAATATAAAAAGAAATTTTAACTATACAAAAAAAAAGTTAAATAAGTTACATTAAGTCAAGAACAAAGTTGGTAAATTATATAATTATTAGACAAACAAATCAAAAGAAAAAAAAATCAATTACATTTGTACTAGGTAAATTAAATGAATAAACAAATTAATATATACATTGTACTTCAACTATTACCACTACTACATGTACTACTACTACTACTTATATTAATAGATAAATAAATAATTAGACAAGTTAGTAAGTTAGCCTAATTAATTAATTAATTAAATGAATGAGTAAATATTGCATTTTTAATTCTTTAAATAAATAGTTATTAATAAATAAACAAAAATTACAGTTTTACAATAAAAATTAAAAAAATGATTCATAAAAAAAAAAAAAAGTTTTAATTATATGAAGGGGTTGAAGAAGGTTAGATAAATAAGTTCAATAAAGTGTACAGTGTAAAGCAAAGCTTGTGATTATTAATTGTATTAATGAAATTTGAATACTGTAACAAAATCGCTGAAATCAAATACCACTGAAACATCATGTATGTAAGCCCACAAAAGTGGCTTAGCCCACAAAAGTGGCTTACATGAGGATCATGAATAATTTATTCAACCTCTAAATCGCTCAATCTTGATAATGGACAGAATCATCACAATTCTTGTCCGTTAAGAACAAAAGACAGGTGTCTGGTCCGGCATGAGTAGCCAGTGCAATTTCGCACTTCGGTTTTCATTCTTGTTAACAATACATCACGCCAAAAAAGACCGAGAGTGAATTATCCAAATTGACGGGGCTTTGTCGTGTAGTATGATAGATGGTGCAAAACGTCGCATCCTATTTTGTTCTTCGTTCTTGATACTGTATCCTGAGATGATTAGAATATAAATTGGAAATGGACCTGTTAAAGCGTTGTGAAGCCGCCGTAAATTGACGAGTGTGTACATCATCACCTGATGCTCGCTGCTCAACTAAAAAGTGCGTTGAGAATGTCAAGGTCAATGGTAAACTGCTCAGTGTGAACGGGGTGGGAAGGCCGCATTGTTGACATTATGAATATTGCATATGGACATAGTACATGTACATGGGGAATAAGAGTGTACGGCCAACACATTTGAAATAGGTTCAGCAAATATACTCTAGCATCAAAAATATAAATTGACATTTTATATAAAGAGCTTTAAAGAAAGTAGGGTTGTCAGGGGTATGAATGTGTATCTCCCCCTCCCCAAAAAAACTAAAAATGACTAAATAATTCATATTTACAATGTACTCGTAAGTGCTGGAAACTACATTGTGCCATAATGTGCATGTTTAAGTAATACTTAGACTAAGCCTACCAATTCCATACTTAATTCAGAAAATAACAACATGATGTACATGTACATATAGTTTGGATTCTTTGCTTGATTATCAACGTATTCAACATGTCCATCAAACTTTACAGCAGTTTTTCCGTCAATTTGGTAATTTCCAGTGGACCTATCAACAGCTGTATAAAAAAAAAGTTACCGATAATTTAGTATTTATTTCCTGTTCAATAATAGTCTCAACTTATTCACTTCACGGCATCCAGCCATAAAACTTGGACCCATGCCAAGAAGCCTCGGACATTCATCGTGACTCACACGGCGCACGGCCAATAATTCCGCTACAATTTCTTCTGCTTGTCTTATTCCATTACCCCCGAAATCAATGCCTCTGATATTCCAATGGACTCCGGATAACCCAGTTAGCCAAAGTTGCTAGAATCCAGATTAAAATTTGGAGAGCCAAGATTTCACACTCGGCTGTACTTCTTTTTCTGGTGTGAGAAATTTTTAGCTGACTGGATTCTTTGGAAAATGAAATCTACATGTACATTTTGTACTTGAACAGGCAGTTGTACCATGTTCAGTGTACATGTATGTGTAATATTTTTACAACTGCATTCTGTGATGCTGTTCGAAACGTGCTAAAATTAATATTATTTACGTGGAGTACATGTAATACATACTTGTCAGAATATTAAATAGAATTTGACATTCGATATTATTTTCAATATTATTTTCAATATTATTTTCAATATTATTACACAAGCTCGTGCACATGCAAGCTTTTTAGAAATTAAATCCAACATATTGTATTTCATTATTGTAATTGAAATAGTATTGGCACCATGATGTTTTGCTTATAATCCAAGTTCATTGACAGCTACATATGTATCTTATCTTCGGATAATTTTGTTTGTGCCTAATCTGACGTAAAATAAAAGAATAGATAAATAGACAGACAGACAGACCAACAAACAACCTGAGGTTAATAGACCATTTGAAATGATGAAGCTAGGCATGAAACATGCACTTCCACCGCCCCCCCCCCCCCCCCCCCCCCCCCCCGCCCACCACCCTCCCCTCCCCTACCCCCCCCCTTCCCCCACGCACTCCCCCATCCAACTTCACAGCAAGCAAGATCTACGTTTCCATTTTGAACTAAGAAATGTCAAGTGGAATCCTGTCGTGTTGCCTGAGATAAACTGATGAACCTGAGGTGACGAAAACAGGAATCGCATAACGGACTAATGGACTTTTAATAGGTTCTCTCTGGGGTGTGGATAGGGGGGGGGGGGACGGGAAAACTTGTTCTGTGTTTGAATGATTTGGACCTCTCCGGAAGGAACTCACTCCCACTGGAAACCTGAAAACAATATCATTTTCCTAAAGAAACATCTTTGTTTTAAGTGCCGATTGATCATGCGTTGATGGCTAATTTTGTTCCTGTGAAATTGAACTGATGACATTGTTTTTAAAGGAAAAGTGTAGAATTTTTTTGGGGGGGGGATTGGTGGGAGGAGACTAACATTTTTTAGGGGGTGGCATTAGCAGAACTATACATGTAAGAATGTCAATTGAAATTTTTTTTTTTTTTTTAATTAAGAATAAATTAAAGTTGAACAAAGAAATTAATAGGAGAGGGAAAATTAACCTGCGATTTCCGGAACTGCTGTTCCGGTGCTCTACCAACTTAGCGATCCATATGTTGGTACGTGGTTCCCCACAATGCACCTACGTATAATTGCTTTCCCTTGCGGTTTACTTGAAATTTACAAAAGAAATTATGAATTGAAATAGTTTATGAATAGAAATGAATTGTTTATCCTGAATATAGGGAAACTAAAAATATCCCAAACCCATAACAAAATATGCCAAGGGTGATATTTATGGGACTTAAGTCTGTTATTTTCCCATATTATAACTGCGGTTATTTGTGATGCAGTGGATTTCATTGCTATATGTTGACTAACAACGCTTGTCTTGTTTCTCCCATCCGCGCTAACCCTGATCTTCATTTATCTGTCACAGAGAAAGGTAAAGCAAAAAAACTCATGTTCATTTCCATATTTTGCTCTTGTGCCTTGGCATTTGTTTTTGTAAATCTGTGTTTTGTTTTGACAAAGGGGGAGTCACTATGTGTGGAGTTGATGTACGGTATCTTTGTCAATCTGCAGTGTTTACATGCACTTTCACGTTTTGTTCTTTTTCACTGTAATTTTCTCTCCATAAAAGCACTGTATTGGATTTCAAATGTATTGCTTGTTATTTTATTCACTGTGAATTTTCAGGGATCTAGTTACACATGTTCCTTTTTTATTTCCCTGCAATGTTTGTTCTCTGCATGTAATTTACGTTTTTATTTTGGAATGAATTAGTTTCTAAAATGTACAAACCATGTTGCCGCTTTCAGGGGTATGCATTTTTTTTTTATATTTTTTTTTGTACGGTTCTTTTTTGATAAATTACACATTTTTATGAAACTGAAGAGTCGCAAGAAATTTTAAATGTATATCATTTTTTTGTGAATATTTGTACGATTTTTACAGATGTCTGGCACGTGGTTTTTTTTTATCCAAACAACATTTTTCTGATTTTTAAAAAATATTTATTTTTCATTTTTGATAACTCAGTTCTTTGAAATAACGACGGAAGAAACGATCCATATTTTCCTGAATTTAATACAGCTTAGATTAATCTTAAATCCAATTAATTCAAAAATAAGGGAAAAAAATCCAAATTAATCTCCCATCCTCCATCGCACCAGAATTGCAATAACACACACCCCCTGGGCCCCCTTGATTACATCTCCCCACCCCAGGGGCATGTCGTCATGCCGACTGCCCCCCCCCCCCAAGAAAGGTAATACAACAAAACACCTTCACACCAGAAACCTGCGTCTATTTCTCCTCGCATGAAGCTGTATGACGAGAACTCCTTGGCCCAGTTTTCACGCTGCTTGCCCCAAGCCGTGCTGCTCAAACACGGAGAGGGTTTAGTGACAAGTCTAGCACTGCTCCCCGCTGATTGGGAAAGGAACTGGCAAATTAAAAATGACATGTCTGGAGAGATCGCTACGTACGTCTTGGCTCTCCCGTCCAATGGCCTTTATTTTACCTTTACCTGGACTGCACTTTTGCCTGTGAAACTGACCCGTCAGAAAAATAGCCATATGGGAAAATTATTAACGGACTTTACATTTCTTATTTATTTTTTGCACTACTTGGGGATGGGGGGGGGGGGGAATAAAGAATGAAATTGGTTATGTACATAATATGGACTCTCAACCAACTTCCCAACTTCATGCAGTTGCTGAGTGGGAATTCACATACAATCAGGCATGCAACTTGTCCTCGTATGAGCTGATTTCCTTGTTTTTCACTTGACATGTATGCCGTAAAAAATTGGGAAACACTACAAAAGTCTTGCAAAGCTTGGAATTTTGTCTTTTTTGTTGTTGTCTTACTTCCCAGTTGCATGTCTGAAATAAATAACATGACGTGACGTTTGGTTGATAAGCGTCTCTTGCAGAGTACAACTGTTCCGTTATCAGCAACTTCCAATCATTAATTTTGACTAGAAGAAACCAGTTTCCCGTAATAACAAAATTTAGAAAAAAAATCAATGTTTCACACTTTTGCGTTTTCCCAATTTTGCAGGGACTTTGCGTATGTAGCTCGGGACAAGGTCACCAAGCGCTACAAATGCCACGTGTTCCGCTGTGACATTCCGGCCAAGGCCATCGCCAACGCGCTGCACGAAATCTGCGCCCGGGTCATGAGCGAACGGCAAAAGGGTCACACCATCTCCATGGTAACACAGGGTCAGATGATCCAGCAGCAGCAACAGCAGCAGCTTATGCAAATGAGGAGCATCTCATTGGACAGTAACAAGGAAGGCATTCCCACAAGCGGTAGGTCCTCTGCCAATCAGAGTTTGTGTTTCAAATTAGCTCAGCCAATAAAAAATCTTTTTACATAAACCCTCGCATTTGGGAGTACAGTGTATATTTTCAATTCAGTGGCATTCTTTTAATTTGGAAAACATTTAATCAGTATGTGGTGAAACCATTGTTTTACATGTAAAGTAACAATTAATCTCTCATGTAACCTTTCAGAAAATCAAAAACTTAATACATAATTTTAATTTTGCTGTTTCATCTACTAAGCTTACTTTAAAATTACTTCAAGCACTCGGACCCACAGACAGTTCTAAGCATATAAGATACAATCATTAATAAACCCGTCTAGCCAATATGCAAATATCAACACAAAAAGCAAATATTTCATCAATATAACTGCCCCGCATTCCAAATTCCCCAAATCGTTGTCGCGGGTTACAGTCTCGAGAAATGAATAGTCAGTCGTTGAAATTCATAAATCCCCCCCAGCTGATACGATCAAAACCTTTCCCCAGAAAAACCAATATTAGCAGCTCGATACCATCCTCACGAAGGCTCACCAGACCCCCACCCCTCTCTCTCTATTATTTGCCCCACCCACGAGCCCCGAGGGAACGCAAATTTCCGGGCGAGATTAGCCGCAATCGCGGCGGGCCAATCCAATTATCTGGTGGGAGAAATCCAAACACAGTGTGGCCGGCCGGCTTAATTAATGCAATTATCATGCACAAAAGGAGGCAGTCCTGGCTGTAAGAATGAGATAGGGAACCTGGATACTGCTGCGGTAACTAGGGTTTTTTACCTGTGCTTGATGGGAAGATGCATGCCCTGAATACGCTGTCTGAACTAGGCCAAAATCCTGGATCAGCAAGACAGTCAAGATTTACTGCAGAGATGATTGAAGTGAAAGTCTTGTGTTACATTTGTTTTTACGATAACAAATTTGCTATCTATGTGATCTTAATTGTGTGAAGACCTAGGGTTCTTAATCTGTCTTCCTTCAATCGAATTCAAGATTACACGTTGGTCACATGTTTGTGTGGGTTCATAGATGAGATTTGAAGGTTTACATGGTGGAAAGATACTAAGACAAGATAAGTTTGCGGTAGCACCATCTGAATAAATCTCTTTTGTGAGTATGTGTGGTTCTTAAAAGAACCGGAGGGACTCGACGTTTCGAACAGTATGCTTTGCCCGTCGTCAGGAGAATGAGGTTCATAGGTTATTTATTTTTCATGATAAGTGGGGTTTAGAGTAATTCTTATAAGAGGTTCTCTGTACATTTTAAACTAAAATCTTAACTGAAATAAATAATGAAGTTTGATAGCCAAGAGAGGTATCAAACTAAACTGAAGTCTTTGACCGTTAGGATTCAATCTCTGTTGAAGGGAATTTGAATTTGATTCAGCCAGAGTGACATTTTATTTTTTTGTTCTCTCCTGAAACAGTTGATTTCCCTACTCCGAAGGCAGAGCCTATCACAGTATTCCGAGCTCACTACGTGGGCTCAACAATGGTTGAAAAGAATGGAGGTAGGCAGCATAGTTTTGTTTTTTTAATATAAAATTGATTTCAATTGTTCAGGTTGTTTTTTTATGTGTTTACATAGCTGGTGCAAATAATTTTGCTGTAATGGTTTCAAACCTAATGCCTAGATTAAAATACCATATTTGAAAACCAATTTGTACATATTTAACAGCCATAACTGAGTCTTTGACATACAATTTGTCGGGTCCACCACGAAATGACGTATCGTCCATGGACTTTATGCACATACGTCATTTCGTGGTGCGACTGATGAATTGTACGAATCTTAATTTGTGCCATTATGGCATTTCTGATTCTGCTTTTGTTTTTTTTAGGTATGGAGGTTCTGAATAATGCAATTACCAAAGTATGCGGGGAGATACCAGAGGACCAGTGGTCACCATCGAGAATTGAAGTAGCTGTTTCCACAGTCACCGTCACCAACATCAAGGTAAAAATTGGCAAAAAGAATGCTGAAAATTGTTCCTGAATAGCAAATTTGATTTTTGTTACAAATTTAAGTTTTGTTGATTCGAGCATCAACTTTCTTTTTTTTAATGTCTAAATTTGTTTCATTGAAAGGAATTGGTGATTTTTTTTATTATTCAGTTCTGGAGACTCAAAATTAATCCACAGAAATTATCTACCGAGCTGAAAATATAAAAAAATTGTGTACAAAGGTTAAGAAAAGTAGTCATTTAAACCCCAAAATATTAAAACCTCATCAAATATTCATCATTATTGCAAATATTATATTTAATTATTATTGTTCATATTATTGTTTCATTTATGTATTTTCAGACCAAAGAAGTCATCACGGAGAGCAGAATACGATTCCTATCATTCCTGGGCATTGGAAATGACATCAGGTAAAACCAAAATTTCATCTGCAATCAAGATTCATCTTTCTATAAATACAATTGCGTTGTCTACAATAAACACTTTTAATTCCTTCTGCTGGACTGTTTCTTCTGTGCAGACAATTTGCGTACATCATGTGCGTGGGCAAGCAGAAGTTCCAGTGTCACGTCTTCAGCTGCGAACATTCGGCGGGAGGACTGGCCAAGTCTATTGAGGCTGCTTGCAAGGTACGTATCGTAGGCCGACCCCTAGATAAGAGCTACGTGATGTACTGGTTCCTCCTGGTCGCGTGAGGTTATCCTCCTTTTCTTCCATCCTTTGTGACCCAGGTTCGAATCCGAATCAGGCTACATGTGGAATTGGTTTCTACCTGAAGCTGTCTGTTTGCATGTCTCTTGAACATTCTGCATCAAAGTGACCCTGTGCACTGTTTATGCACCGTTGTTGATGCATGGTATGCAACAACAGTTTTCGGACTTGTTTAAAGTTGCATATTCCATGCTTTAAAAAAAAACTTGACTTTTTCTCGTTATGAATTTTCAATTTATATGTTTTGTTTTTAACAAAAAAAAAAAAACTCATTCCTTTTTTGGACATCAGCAACCGTCTGAGAAGGTGCTTTCATTTTGCGCACAAATGAACTCGCCCTGCAAGAGCCGACTTACATGCCTGGCAGCCAATAAGTCGAATTTTGGGAAGAAATAATTCAATGACGAAACGTTGGTGGATATTTTTGTTCTGTGTCTTATTCATGAGTGAACATGGTAAAACCAAAATAGATGCCAGGGTTTATTGTACTGCTAGGAAAATAGTAATTGAAAAAAATAAATCTATTTTTGGAGGTGAACTCAAAAATAGGGGGAATACATCTTTAGAAAGTTAGAATTATTGAAAGTTGTTCTTGTTTCATTTTTCTCCAGCTGAGATACCAGAAGTGCCTGGACAATCGGCCCAAGGGTCAGCATCTCATGTCTGAGAATTCTTTCGACGGAAGGGTGAGTTAGGAGCAAAGGATTGCTGTCGGCTCGTTTATAGGTTGACTGGAGCGATGCATTGCATCATTGGATTATTAAACATGTTCTTGTCAGTACCTAATGTTGGTTAAAGTATCATAATTTGAGAAAAAAAATAGTGTCCTGAATTTTAGGTATTAAGATTTCTACTGCTGGATGTTGATGCATAGATCTTGAACCTTTCTCAATTCCTAGTATTGGAACTTTTCGTGCTTGGGAACCTAGCAGCGATTTTACCAGAACCTCAAACGATGATGCACAAAGTCTTACTGACAAGAAACTGAATTGAAAGAGCTGATATTTTTTTTTTTAAATAAAATGGCATCAGTTAAATTGTTCTCTTTTTGATTTCACAGACCTGGGGATGTGCCCTGAAGAACGGCGTACAAAACCTCTTCAGCAAGTTCAGCCGGCGTGGCCACAAAGAGGCCCCCATCAGTGCAGTATAAAGGTCACAGGTCACGCAGGTCAAAGGTGAAAGGTCAAGCCTTCTCGCAGACTTGACCTCTACGCAAGAAAAAAAGTTGATTGTTTTCTTGTTCGCCAGCAAATGCTGACCTGATGTTTTGTATTTGGAGATGGAAAGAACTTTTATGGAAAAGAAAAGTACCTATAATTTAAGTCATATCACGTCGACTGTTACAGACTTCTCAAATATTTCTGACTATGAAATAATTGCCACTCTTGCATATCAAAGTGAGTGGCATTATTAAGCTAGGAAAATCTTGTCAGCTGTGTACTGTATGCAAGAAAGTAACGCTGCTGAAAAAGAAGTTATTTAAGGATGGTGCGTAATATGCTGCTCATGTGTGCTGAACCTAAGTGGGAAAGCAAATTGTCGTGTTTGCGTGTACATGTTCTGCGATGGATGATGGTGATTTATTTATTGAGAAAAAAATTGTGGTCGAAACCACTGATATTTACGTATGTGTGTAAATCCGATTCTAACAAAGTTAAGCTTGTTGATAATGGGGAAAATGTCATATCTGCGTTGTTGTCAGTTTTGATAAACTGGCCAAACTTCACAGCTAGAGGGCACCCGAGCAAGGTGGCCATATTGTTCATCAAGTTTTCCTGGGGATTTATCAATATCTCTCAAAGCCAAAGCTGTGCAATATGTAAAATATGTCGATTACGAGAGATGGTTTTAATAGCATATCAATACTTGTCTGACACACAGCTGCTGCATTCATTATTTGTGATCCGGCAAAATCTTCCCTTAGGCAGATGAAAGCAAAAAGCTGGTTTTCACTGACGTAAGAAAAACAACTCATTCTGCAATCTGTATTCAAAGCCTGTCAATGTTTTCTTGATTTTCTCCAGATTTCTGAAAAACAACGAAAAACACCTGTCGCAGTTAATGTTGTATTTGTGTAAGGATATACCTTCAAGCTATTAAAAAAAACCACTCGGCATCTGAAATCAAGATCGTAGAGTGCAGAAATTAACATTGCAGACTGCAGAAAAGTATTCGACAAGTTGAATGGAAAGCAAAAACAGATAATTATTTACAAATTATTTTATTTTACAGAAATTTGAGGTGACTAAGGTCCACATCATGTGCAAAAATCTCATTTGATGACTGTAAGAAATATAATGTATGTTTTGAAGAAAAATGTTTCTGTTAATTCAGATTTAGAAGAGTTTATATACCAAATGGACATGGCAAATAAAGATACTCGTTCAAAGGATATTCCTAAAAAGTATTCATAATTAGCTGGGGGTACTACCCAACAGTACACCGATACTTGTAAGATATTCTGGAGTGTGTAGATAACGTGATATTTATTTCATTCATTCATTCAATTCACAATAATTAGACAATTTTTGGATCTTATAGGTTCAAATTGTGTGAAAAATGTATACAGAGGAAGTGGTGTGTATGAGTGCGTGCCAGTGGCACATGTGAAATTTTTGTCATTGTATTCTCAAGTGTATGTAATTATCGGAACCATAAAAAAAACAAGCAGCTTAAATTTAGTCTGAATTACTGTAGCAAGCTTTGTGGTCCTTGATCGATGGTTAAAAGTAGAATACTCAAGTGTACACATACAAAGAAAAAATATCTTAATTAGCAAGTAGAACAAATGTTGGATTATACAGTGTAGTGTACATAAAGTGAACGTTACGCAGCAAGTGTGTAATTGCCATTGGAAATATTTCCTTTCACGTCATTTGTCTGCAATATGTTTTGAAGAGTTTTTTTTTTTAATGGATTGGGGCTAGTCGAGGTCATGTGATTGCATTGAAGTCAGTGATTGGTCAGTGAGGTGTCAAAGGTCGCCGGCTTGCGGGCGCGCATCCGGTCCAGTGGTTGTCCATCTGCTTGTCCTTGATTGAAGCTGGTTTGCAACTCATGTTTTGTGATTTTGTCCCGGTTATTGTACATCTGGAAATTGGCTTGTGAGCCCCAATTATGGGGGAAGATTTTGAACGATCGTCAGAAAAAGATACTGCACAAGAAAATGAAAGGACTGTTACAAGTTTGATGCTAAGGTTGCACATTCCGAATTTAAGGATACTGCAATTGAAGGAGACAGAAAATAGTGAAATCTCCTCTTTTTTTTGGTAAAGAAAGGAGCAAGTGATCTCTAAACTATCACAGATCTGGAAATGTATTGTTGGCGGATAAATGGAAGTTTCTATTTAGATGATATATTTAAGAAACATGGGGGGAAAAAAAGGAAGATGTAACAATGTTTGAATGTTGGTTCTTTGTACTAAAAAAGGTTGAACTGAAATTGGTCTAGAAAGTTGATTGTTTTTTATACCTAAACAGCTTTGGTTTTAAAGAAACTAATGTCTTTGTTGAAAAATGATGTCATTCCAAATGATATTAAGACATTTCAGCCGCATGTTATAAGGAGCAGTGTATTTCTCTTAACCGTAGCTTAAGAACTTAATCAATAGTGTAAACGTGACAGTAGTGCAAAATCTAAACTAAAGGTAGCGTAAATTCTAAGCATGAAAAACACTACCATTTTAATGACATTATTGTGTGGAGTGTATATTTCAGAACAACTTGGAATTCGGAAGGTCACAAACAATTCTATCAAAAGATGGGAGGGGTGACATGTTTCGGTCTTTTTACAGGGAACCGGTTGCTCTTCATTGGATTTCTGTAGAAAATATTTGTGACAAATGGTAAAAAGGGTGGACTTGCAAAATGTGTAATAAAAGTCAAATTAATGGTAACACTTTGAGCATTTTGCACAAGCTTAAACGTACCGTACATGTAGTTGCACAGCACATTGCATTGAAATTAGGCCATGAATCTGGTGCAAATAATATATGTGGTCGTTAGTCTGAGAAACATGAATTGTCGAATGTAGGCCTAGAATATACTCAAAAGTACATTTATCGTAAAATACAGAATTCTTGTACTTGTAACGTGACTGCAACTTTTTGCCTCTTTGTGTATTCTTGAATATAAATACATGATAATGAATATAAGCTACAATTCGTTAAACTGACTAAAATGTGATACTTGCTAGTTGGTCCAGTGCTAATCCTGGTTATAGTTGGATTGTAGTTGTAGTTTTAGCCCTTAATCTGGTTTAAAACTAGTTTATAGTTTAGTTATAACACTTTGGTGGAGATGAGGGGAAAGTGAAGTTTTTTAAATTATTGGAACCAAATTTTTACGCCATTCTAAAAAGCAATGATTTAAGTAATGTTATTGACGCGAGTGTCTCCTTATTTTGAGGACATGTTATTGGCAAAAGAACGTATTCTTTTCTTGTACTTATGAATCAGAGAATTAAGTTAGACAGATAGAGAAATTTACTTCTAAGGTGCAATTTGATAACCAGTTCCATCCTCACTAGTTTAAGTTTACTTAAAACCTAGTTTTAGTTAGAGACACAATATTTATGAAGTTAGTGACTTATGGAAAGATGTACTTCAAGACGTCAGTACAATTGTCAATACATTTCCTTTTTATATGAATTTTTGCCAAAAACCTGAAATTATTTTTCATTTTCTGGTTTCGTTTTGGAGTTTGTGGTTCACCCACCCTTGTCTGTGTTGTACAGCTTACGTTTATTTAAATAACATAAAAAATATGAAAAGTCTGTGTGTTATATGATTAGTATTTTTTGCACAAGTGTGACATTGGTTGTTATACCTCTATAGGAATGTGTATGATACTTTTTAAATGATTGTAAATTGTTTTTATGTACCACTGTATAGATTTCAACCTTGCCGATTATTTGTCACCAAAGCATTATGGGTATTTTTCAGAGGAAGACTCCATTGTTTTCGGGGGTGGTCTAATAACTGCCAGCGCTCATGCGAGATTTCATGATCCTGCCGTTTGCTACTTGATTTCAGGTGTTTACAGTCGCTGCTTTCCAATCTGATCCCTAACCTAATTAGCATAATTCAATCTAGTATGCTAATGATGCAATTTACATAAATTTACATTTGGTGTACCACTCATCCAAGTGAATGCTGATGAAGCCCATTACCATTGCAATGGACTCCTAATCACGTTAAGAACAGGACGCATGAGATTTTTAACTCGCACGAATTACCGTAGTGGTTCATCTGATCACTTTAATTTCACTAAAGAGATCTGTTTTGCATTCAAGGCAATTCAACTGGAAATGTGTACTTCTTGCATGACCAGGGTACAAACATGTATGGATAAAAAAACAAATTGCACGGAGTTTTGTGTCATATTTCCTCAATTATTATTTGTGTATTCATCAATATTTTCCATTCACTTGTCACCAACCAGACAACTTTAAACTGTGTTAGCTTTTAAATGAGCCAAAATCATATTTGAATCAGACAAAATATCTTCATTGAATTGATAATTGCAATTAGGAAAGTGGAAAACATAGTAAAATGGAAGTCTTCAAAAATACTGATAATGCTTTTCAAGTCGTTTGAAATGTGTCAGGTGCAGCATTTAAAAAGAAGAGTTTTAAAGATTTTTATGTTTATCACAATTATGGTTGTGAAAAAAAGGAGATATACATAATTGTTTTATTTGTAGGTTTCAGCGCTGATTGAGGTTTCAGATTCTGTGTTGTCATGACAACCCACACTCCCCGATATATTTGACGCGTGTGTTTGTGTGTGATTGGAATTGTGCAGAAATGTATGGTCTATTATTGTACAGAATAAAAAAAAATTAAATTAAAAAAAAAAATAAGAATTAGTTTATGCACTTCATGGCTGATTATGTAAAGCGAAGTGATCATGATATTGTTATTGATATTATTGAAAGTATTATTGTGATTATTGAAACTTTATTGGTATGATGATAATTTATGGTAATTATTACGATACCTTATTGTTGTCATTATTATATTGTAAAAAGTAGAAAGCTTGCCAATTTTATTTTTCTTACGGTATTTTGTGTACACATTTCACAGCAGACTCTTTACCACAAAATATTTCTGCTGCATAGTTTTTATGTTGTGCGCGGGTTATCATGGAATTCAGGGTCAGTAATTTGATTCTTACACGGCCTACAATTATGAAATGTTTTCAGATAAAAAGAGTTTGAAGTATTGCATAATAATTTCTTTTCAATGTAAATGAAATTGTAAAATCGTCAAACTTGAAAACTTTATTACTTGGAGCCCTCTATAACTGTATGAATTTCAACTTTCTGAAGTTGGTTTTACGGTCTGAATATCTTTCAATAATAATTCTTCATTTTTTTGTGATAGAGGAATCAAATGCAAAACAGGATGTTGTTGATCCAAAACATTAATGACAGACTAAATTAAGTCTTTGTTTTCATCACCACCGAAAATTGATTTATTTGCGTAACATTTTTAAGAATTTCCCCGAAGATAATTGGAGTCATTAAGGTGCATAGTCATAGGTTCCCTTGTAAATTGTATTTGTATTAAAATCATAATGTATTTTTTTTTCGTTTGTTGTTAAGGACAATTTTTTTTTTATGAGAGGGATTTGTTCCCACTTTTAGAGCGTTATTTTTCTATGAATTAAGAGTCTGTTGTGAAAGAAATCGTTGGAAAAAAAGATCAGATGTTTATTTTATAAGCAAGCACGTACAATGGCTTTTGCCTTGACAATCTGACAGCCCCAAGAACTGGATTTTGTTCTTCATCAAGAATTTAGATATTTTGAATGGATCATTGGAGAGCCACAGAGAAAAGTAGGATCTGATCATTGAAAGAACACAAAAATACTTCTGTCACTTATTTGGGGGTATTTTTTTTTCTGTTACAGAATAATAACCCAATATGTTAAGAATCTTTGATGAATCACCTCAAATGAAATGCAGATCCCAGTATGTAGAAAAGCGAAGAGTTAATATTCAACTTGCAAAAACAACTTGATTGGCTTTTTTTGCATTCATTAACTGATAGTTATTGGTAAGGCAAAACTCATTCTGTGTGCAGCATTTATGCACTTTTGTGTCAATATGTGGATAAAAATAAGTAACCAAATAAAACCAGATGTACTTCTGCTAATAAATGTTGCAACGCATAAATATGACCAAAGAAACATGTTTGTGTGTCATTATTGTGTCTTTTAATTTTCAGTGGCATTGCAGATTAGTCTTGAGTAGGGGTTTTCAATCTCCCACACATTATGGTTCCCAGCCACAATTGTTTGCAGTCGCCCCCTCCCTTTCTAGCTTTAGTGCTCCTTCCCCTCCTACTAGTTGCTGGCAAAATAAAAACAAAAACAATCCTGTTACATGTCACTACATTTATTTTCATATTAGTATGAACCTGTATTTTCAACATGGAAATGAGATGATTCAAATTTATAACAACTATATGATATTAAAGGGACTTTTTGATATTTTTTTCCCTTTTGTTACTTATGTTAGCAAAGCATAAGAGAAGCGACTGGTAATCAAGACTAGCAATCTTTCTTACTCTGATTGCCAAGAGAGGGCGCTATACAATAATAAGGGAACTGAAAAACTGCGCCGGATGCGAGATGGAGGGGTTGTGTTTGTTGCTGTTTGTAACTTTTATGAATTTTGGTTTAGTTCAGAACGAAGGTGAGAAATATATCAGCTTTGGTTGATTAATAATTAATTTATAAACATTCATAGGGGATAATCGTGTAGTTAAGGGCACCTCCCTTTTTTACTTGTTCCGTTCAAAAATTACTTTTGCATTTCATGATTTGCAAACACGGCAAATGACTAGTCCGAGTAACTTGGACCTAGCCTAGTCCGAGTAACTTGGACCCAACTTATCGCCTTTTTAAAAATTTGGACATGGTCTGGCGATAGTAGGGTCCAAGCCCATTCCGAGACCTAGACAACATAGTCACTGACAGTCCCAAAAACCAACATTTTCCAACAAAAAACATCAGATTTCACCTTCAAAATGGCCTCCAAATTACTAGATATGTCACCTGAGGTACAAGTAGACATAGATGATTAAGATGGTTGTACTTAAGTTTACTTACGATCCGGAAAAAAAGTGAAATTTTCCGTTCATTTCGGAGAGCTCCCCTCGCGATCTTGAACACGTTAAATTTGCGATCGTGTTTAAAGTTTGAACGACGCGATTTCTTCTACATGCCCAGCGTACATTCGATGGTCCCCGTATCCCGAGTGCGATTCCGTTACCGAGCGCGCGCGATGCATCGATTATGATAATGAGTAGACTGGATCACGTTTGTAAACACATGTGCATTTCAAACGATAATAGGGAGTCGGGAACTAGCGCAGCTTTTATAGCGGGTACCAGTTCAAGCTGGTTCCCGATTCCCTTTTACAGTTCGAAATGCACATGTACATGTATGTGTTTACAAACGTGACTCATTATCATAATCGATGCATCGCGCGCGCTCGGTAACGGAATCGCACTCGGGATACGGGGACCATCGAATGTACGCTGGGCATGTAGAAGAAATCGCGTCGTTCAAACTTTAAACACGATCGCAAATTTAACGTGTTCAAGATCGCGAGGGGAGCTCTCCGAAATGAACGGAAAATTTCACTTTTTTTCCGGATCGTAAGTAAACTTAAGTACAACCATCTTAATCATCTATGTCTACTTGTACCTCAGGTGACATATCTAGTAATTTGGAGGCCATTTTGAAGGTGAAATCTGATGTTTTTTGTTGGAAAATGTTGGTTTTTGGGACTGTCAGTGACTATGTTGTCTAGGTCTCGGAATGGGCTTGGACCCTACTATCGCCAGACCATGTCCAAATTTTTAAAAAGGCGATAAGTTGGGTCCAAGTTACTCGGACTAGACCTAGCCCCACTAGTGTGGCCGTCGTCGGTATGCTGCGCTGAACCTAGGTTCAGCGCAGCATACCGATGGCCACACTAGTGGGGCTAACTTGGCCCCAACTTATCGCCTTTTTAACATTCGGATGTCCGAATGTTAAAAAGGCGATAAGTTGGGTCCAAGTTACTCGGACTAGCAAATGACCTAGTCCCATAAATGTGACGTATTAACGTCACATTTATGGGACTACAAATGACCCTCAAATTTTCCAAAATAAATTCTGCAGCCCCAATTTTTTTTAATGTTTTTAATCAAAATTGTTCTTGGAAAGATTCCCATATCTGGCCATCAGTAATTTTTCCCTTAAATGACCTATCAGCCATCAGAAATATTATGGCCTAAAATAAGCAAGGACGAATTTTGAAATTTTACTGAGAAAACACTTTAAAATTTTCAGACCAGTCCCATAGGGTTTGTGCACGGTGCACAGGGTGACAAGTGATGGCCAGATACAGGAATTTTTCTTTGTTCTTTTTAAATTTTAGTTACATAGATACATTTTTTAGTTCGCTAAATTATATACCATATTGAATATCACAATTAACCATAGGGCATTAGGGGTGTACTTTTGGTCTTATACCAAGTTAACCTTTTCTTTGATTGCTCACAAAGTAAACAATTTCCAAGGTCACTGATATCCACCCCACAAAATTCCTTTTATTTTAATTTGTGTTTAAGTTTACATTCACCAATATCTAGCATATTGCACTTATATCTGACAGTTGAATAATAAGCTTGGCCTTATTTTCATTCTTCACGGATAGGAGATGCAGACAGACGCAACGTCTTATTCCTCGTTGTGGATGATCTGGCTCCGGTCATCTCAAGCTATGGAGGCAGAGCCCTGACACCTAACATTGATCAGTTGGCTGCACAGTCGGTCAGGTTCACTAACGCATATGCACAGGTATATTTTAGACATGACATTTGATAATTCATGTTTTATAAATTTGACTTTTTTATCCACTTACCCAGCACTTCATAGCACTTCATAGATTTTATTTTACAATCAGATAGACAATGATTACATTTTAGCATACTGTAACGTGCGTCGCCTAGTCGGTCCCTTGCCTCTCTGGCCCAGTCCCGATGGAGTTGAAGCACCTGCGGTTGGAGGCCACAGCACCAAGTGACGAACAGCACTCCCAAATCTGCTCCACCAGGGGAAAGCGCTAACTCAACTTGTGTTTGGGATTTAGGGGATTGGGTGGATTAACCTGTGGTTTTGGGTGGATTAGCCTGTGGTTTTGGGTGGATTAACCTGTGGTTTGGGAGGTTGACCAGTGGCTCAGGGTGGCTGACCAGTGGCTTAAGTGGGGGAGACTTACACCCTAATTAGTGACAATTAGACAATAAAACAGAGACAGGAGACTTATTTGACTTCTTTGGTCCCACCAGGCGAAGAAGTGAGATTTATTCCTTCTCACTCTGCCTTTTATAGGCCAACATGATCCAATTACATTTGCTAACAATAAATGCACATCATTGCTAAAGTATTCAGAGGGTGGTAACCAATCAAACTGCAGTATTGCTCAGTAGCTGACTTAAGCCACGCCCACTAACTGTATGGGCCAATTGGGGTCTACTGCTCTAGTATGAGTGACTTAGCATTAAAGAAAAGTCACTATACAGTTCATGTTAATGTATAAAACGTATAGTTGATGATTCATCACAATACATTTTCCCCACTATGCAAGAACTGTATGTGTAATTAGTTGAAGTAATTTGGATGTGGTTTTGAATGACCAAAAATATACATGTCATTTAAGATTACATGTACTTTGGTCAATTTAATTCCATTGTTGACTCTGACAATTTTTAAAAGGCACCGTGCGCAGTGAAGACGAAAGGCACTGACGAAGGCCGAATAGACACTTACTTAGTTTTATGTTTTGGGTCTTAAAAATAATACCTGAACATTTGGATAAAAAATATAACACAATGTGAGGCCATATTAAAATTAAATTCACCAAAATCTAGCAGATTTTTATTTGTCAGCGTGAGGAGATGTGTGGACAGACAATGTCTTATTCCTCGTTGTGGATGATCTGGCTCCGGTCATCTCAAGCTATGGAGGCAGAGCTCTGACACCTAACATTGATCAGTTGGCTGCACAGTCGGTCAGGTTCACTAACGCATATGCACAGCTATATTTTAGTACTAACTAACAAGGTGAAGCCTTATTATTAATGATCAGCATTGCCTTTTAGTAAAAAAAAAAATGATATAAAAATATTTGCTTTGGAAAATTGTCAATTTTTTTCTTGAAAATTCATGAATACCTAATAGTCAGACAGTTTCAGTCCTTTTGGTTGAGGGCCCGTCACGTGAGTGGCTTTAAACAGCTGATAAAACACCAACTGGTTTTAAACAGTCTGTCCTGCACCACTGCTTTCTGCACTCCATTGTGCAGTACGCACCGCATGCACACCATTCTCCATAAAAAGGAGATTTGTAGCACTACACACGTGAGGAACGTACCATAGATATGGCCAGGGGTGTTTCACAAAGCACGAGGAAAAAAGTGTTGAACAAAATCGTTGGGAAATTGTGATTTTTTTGACTTATTTTGATTTTTCACTGAACGGTATTTTTGAATGGGAATATATGTGCTTGGCCGGGATTAAACAAGTGTGTTTACAACCGGCTAGGGTACTGGTCGTGGATAATGACAAATGTTTGACTTTCATATTAAACGAGAATCTGTTTGACCTTTTGCAGCAACCACTGTGTGCTCCATCTCGAGTGTCCTTTCTGACAAGTCGACGCCCGGATACGACAAAGACCTACTACAACGGAGCCTTATACTGGCGGACGAACGCGGGCAATTTCACCACGTTACCACAATATTTCAAGGATGCCGGTTACTTCACTGCAAGCATCGGTAAAATCTTCCATTATGGTGGGTTTAAAGTTTTTCTAGTTTCATTATTTTGAATCCTTGAACTGCATTGTCAGTTGCTTCAGGTGTGTTTTAGGTAAAGATAGAAGTTACATTTAACAAACATGAAAGGGTCTTAAACTAAAGCCAACTGCCTAGACATTTTTGCTAGTCACCTATAAGCACTTTTTGTAACTACCAAGTTTCAAGGTGCATCAAGCCCGATGTAAAGTAATAGTGACTGGGCTCTACTTTCCTCAATCCTACAAATCCTTCACTACACGGAAAACAAGCCCTGCAGCCTTTCTCCATTCTTCAAAATCCTCCAAAAACCTCCTCATCGATTTTTAGGATCAGGGAGGTTAAGGTCATTACAAATATTTCTGGCCGAGTTTCAAAAAGAAGGAATCAAAATATTTGTGTTATTGTGCCCGGTTGGTATTACTTTCTTTAGATTTTTTGTTTTTGTTTGTTCTTGTTTTTATTGTTCAGGTAATGTCAGTGGAGAGGACAATGATTCTCCCTACAGCTGGTCTGTGCGCCCCTATCATGCACCTACACTACCGTATGGGTTTGAAAAGGTACGCTCTTTCTTCAAATGTCTTGGAATAACGAACTCACAGTACAATTTGTTTTGAAGTCCATGTGCGCCCATTTCGGAAGCATGCCTAGTCCACAGTTAGTCTATCAAGTCCATCACAAGTCCTCACAAGTCCTCACATGTCCATCCCAGACCATTAAGATTTGTCATGTTTGTGTGCCATAATTCACAGGTTTGCCCAGGATCTGATGGACGGCTCCATTTCAACCTGCTGTGTCCAGTCAACGTGTCCACTCAGCCTCTCGGTTCGCTACCGGACATCCAGACCACTGACCACATCCTAGAGATCTTCAAGAGTCTGTCCAAGAGTCGCCAGGAAGCGTCTGCACCCCACCTGCCGTTCTTCTTGGGGATGGGTTTCCATAAGCCTCACATCTCCTTCAGGTAATGGCCCCTCCCTGTCTGTCATTCAAACGTTACGGCCAAATCCTCAAAGGTCCAATATTAACCAGTTGAGGTTGGGTTTATTTTGACAAGAATGGACCGAGGTACGGGTTTAATATTCACGCGACCGCAATGCCAGGCGGGTCAAAGCCATCACCCTGGGGCTTCAGAGTCATATTTCTGGCATCGGTCTGGGGCTGTAGCTCGCTGACCGTTATTTTCCGGCCTCTGTCGTTGCAGGTTTTTCAGTCATCCGATCTGACTTTCGGAAAACTTCTGGTTAACAAATGTTTGAGACGGGTAGACTCTTATGAAAAAAAAAACACAAGTGCATAAAATATTTTTTGATTGATTCCCCAGGTATCCCAAGGAATATTTGGAGTTTTACCCTCTGGAGTCTGTGGATAAAGCCCCCAACGCATTCTACTCCCAGACCCAGCCCCCAGTTGCTTGGAACCCATTCATGGATGTCAGACGGAGGGAGGACACGACTGCACTCCACTTGCCGTTTCCTTACGGTCCTATGCCCGACAAATACCATGTGAGCTATGGGAAATGGAATTCAGTAGTTTTTTTATCAATCGTACTAGTAATTGGTAGCAATTTCATTTCAGTTTTTACAGAGCTTTGTATTTTTTGGAACTTTGTATTTTTTGGAACCATGCCTAGCCCATTGAGCGCCAAATGAGGACTTCACTGCACATTAGAACCTAATTACAGTTGACTCTCATTGGATACAATTACTGTTAATACAAATGTTGGTTATAGCAAACATAAAGCCTTGGTCCCGACTGTGCATTGATGTGCACAATGAATGGGGCCGGCACTTCTCTTTAGTAATACACAATTCTGAAATCAACATTTTTGCTAGGTCCAGCTGAATTTAAATTAACGAGAGTTGATTGTACACAGTTGGTTTCAGTTTAAAATAGCAGTCTTATTTCCCTTCCATGCTGTTTTTTTTTTGCATTTTTTTTACTCTTGTCATTTCACTAAGAGCACTCAAATTAAGGGAAAAAGACTGAGAAAATTAGGGTTGAATTGTATAAAAATGGGCTGTTCATCTGAAGGAATATTATGCATCATCTCAAAGTCAAATTTACAGGTATCTGATCTTTTCCGACCCGAATTTGTAATGACCAACTATTTTTGTAGACTTTCTGCTCTACAATCTATTCCTAAGGTTTGGGGATGACACATATCGTATGAACATTTTATAAGTCATTAATTTGAGTGATTTGTTTTAGTATCTGATCAGGCAAGCGTACTACGCCTCAACCACCTACATGGATTATGAACTGGGACGTGTCTTGGCTGGATTAGAGGCGGCCGGGTTTGCAGATGACACTATCATCAGCTTCATCTCCGACCACGGTGAGTTTACTGTTGTATTTTGGCGAGTAATTGTTCATAAGATTTAATAAGGACAAAGATCCTTTGGCTTGATTGCCTTTAGCACCATAGTAATAGTACTCTCTCCCACGGGCATTGCTCAAATAGTGTCACCTGACCTGCTGTTGTGTCCAAACTGTCTGCTTTGAACAGCTCCCCCAATAGTCAGATTGTCAAGCAGCCCCCCCCCCTTTTTTTGTTTTGCTGCGGTCTGGCAACAGTCCGCTGTACTGTGTCTGTACTGTAAATAGAAGACTGAAATTGTAGCTAAACATAAGCAAGGGGGAAGGTATGCTGTGACGAATTTGTTCAGGTTTTTGTTCTGTATGTCTACAGGATGGCAACTTGGTGAGCATCAGGAATGGTCCAAGTTTAGCAACTATGCCACAGCCACGAGAATTCCATTCATGATCCACGTACCAGGCATAACAGACACTGTGAAAGAAGGCTCCAAGAAGCCCAAGTTTCCTCTAAGGGATCCGTTCTTGGAGTACAAGTCGACATCGAGGGTTAGAGGGAAGAGCAAGGCCACAAGCTCGCAGGGAGTGTTGGTCAGCGATGCTCTGGTGGAGCTAACAGATCTATTCCCGACCCTTACCGACTTGGTACAATTACCTGTGCCACCCCTTTGTCCTGTCAACTCATCCCAAGTCGACACTTGCGTGGAGGGTGTTAGTCTTGCTCCAATCATTGTAGATACAGCTTTGAATCACTCAAGCAGGAGTAGTCAGTCCTGGAAGAAGGCAGCTTTCACCCAATACCCCCGGCCCTCCGACACCCCCCGACCCGACAGCGACCAACCATCCCTGGCCAACATTACCATCATGGGATACTCCATGATCACAGCCGATGGCTACCACTACACGGAATGGGTCGGCTTCAATAACGTCACCTGTGAGATGAATTGGAGCGACGTCCACGCGAGAGAGCTGTATATTCTCCACTCAGATCCTTTGGAAGATACCAACGTTGCCAATGTAAAGATCAATGAACGGCTTGTGCAAAGACTATCTAGTGAGCTTCACAAAGGGTGGAGATATGCTCTACCCAAACAAGTCTAACAACTTGCCATAAGGCAAAAAAAAAAGTCTCCGGTTTTCTGGTATGCGCGCGCGTCGCCGTAGCCATGCGCGTTGGCAAAATGAAAACATTTTTTTTTCAATGAAAGATGATGTCTCAAAACCGCCAAACTCACTGGTTTGACTGGAATCCTGCTGCTGCACAATTTTAATGTGTTTTTAGATGGGATTATGATCGAGAATAAGCTTGATGTGGCCATAATATTTGCACTAAGTTTAGTCGGGCACCATTTGCAGTCATCAGCCGACATTTGAAGCAAAAAAGTCAGGTAAAAAAAAGAAGCTGCGTCGCCGCACCACTTTTTGGGCAAGCTCCATACCAGAAACCGGAGACTTTTTTTTTTGGCCTAATACAATTTATGACTGTGTGCAAACATGACAACTCATTTTAAAAAAAATTGCAATGTTCTTAATTATAATATTATGAATAAATTTATATTATGTCAGTCATGGATATGATTCTTAGACTGGTAAATTGTGTCACATGTAAATATGTTTTTATATTAAAAACACTAAATTGAAAGGCTAACTTTTTAATGGGTCAAGAAAAACTAAATGCAATAGCTAACTTTTTTTTATGGGTCAAGACTTGTTCACGGTTCCAATTATATGGAGAATGACAGTATTGAAATATACTTAAAAATCTAGCATATTTTGTTTGTTTCAGGAAAACAACTGTTCTTTAATTGTAATAACAAGTGGCTGATACTAGTAATATATGTATGGGTGTTGGTAAACTCACAATTACTAATAAAATCATAAGCGCACAAATCCTCCAGGACTGGTGCTCAAGGCGCTACATCATTATTACCCCTGCTTATTGGGCCCATGAAACATTCCAAATACCATCTCAGCTCCCTGGGGAGTATACAACTCGATGCTGCCTGTTAGGCGCAAGGAAGCTTATTCAATCACAATAACCATCTCTGCCCTCACAGGTACCCATTTACTCCTGGGTGGAGAGAAGCAATGAGTGACAATGTAGATCAATACTTGCAATAAAAACATCTTTATATTTAATGTGCAATTGTCATTCAGACTTGCAATACCTGTCGGCGGCCAACCATGCAAACCCATCGGCGGCAAACCCAATGTTGTCAAAACGAATTGGTGCTATTATGGAGGTATTGTGAACTAGTAAATCTATCTTTTTATGAAATAATACGTAGATCGGTATTTAATAAAAACATCTTTGTATATTTCAATTAATTAATGTTCACTTGTCATTCATATGCGGTCCCATTCTGTGGTGCTGTAAAGCAGGAGTAAACAAAAACACAGCATTTCTGTGGTGGTTACCTTTGCTTTAGGGAATGAGATAGCTACCTTGTGGAAAGAACTCTTTCATTAGGATGATGAACGTGATATTACTGTGAACTTGATGGCACTTTATTGCTATCTCTACAATGTGAGTGTTCCACAAGCATTGACAGATGGCGCTCAGTGTATTCAGAGGTATGGCGCACATTTTGGACAGCAGTTGACCGCACACTGTACCATTCACCCACTTGACTAAGTTAAGCAAACTTGCAATCAGAGTGCCCACGCTTGAATTTCATGAACAGCGGAAACACCGCCCTCTACCGTCCTTGCACATGGGCAATACCAGACACCGTCCAACATTTCTGTTACAGAATAATAACCCATAATGTTAAGAATATTTGATGAATCACCTAAAATGAAATTTATTTTCATATTAGTATTTTCATATTAGTACATTTATTTTCATATTAGTATGAACCTGTATTTTCAACATGGAAATGAGATGATTCCAATTTATAACAACTATATGGAAATAAAGGAACTTTTTGGGTTTCCCCCCTCTTTTGTTACTTAGCGAAAGTTAAAGAGAAGCGTCTGGCAATCAAGACTAGTAATCTTTCTTACTCTGATTGCCAAGAGAGGGCGCTATACAATAACAGAGGAAATGAAAAACCGGGGCCGGATGCAGGATGGAGGGGTTGTGGTTTTTGCTGTTCGCAACTTTTATGAATTTTGGGTTAGTTCAAAACAAAGGTGAGAAGGTCAAGTCAAAATTTATTTACTAACATTTATAAAGGAATAATCGTGTAGTTTAGGGAGAAGAAATTTTGCAACCTGATGCCACTTATGTCTTTGAAAAATGAATAAGAAGAATGAAGAATGTGAAGAATTTCATTTAACATAATTATGTCATGCAATGTTTGTTAAGATTGGGCAAAATTCATAAATTGTGCACGTGATATTCCCACCCAATCTTAAGAATGAGCGCTCATTCTTAAGAACGCGTGCTCGTTCTTAAGAATGGGCGCTCATTCTTAAGAATGCGCGCACATTCTTAAGATTGCGTGATTTTCAAGAATGGGCACAACAGAGCTATGAAAATAAAGGAAGGATTAATAAAAACTGGGACTGAGTGAGAAACATTTCCAATTTTGTTAGAAAATGTTCTGACTCTCCATGGACTTTGTACACAACCACTGAAGTGCCAAAGTGGCGTCAGGTTGCAACATTTTTCGGAAAGATATCTGGCCATCACTTGTCACCCTGTGCACAAGTATGGGACTGGTCTGGGACAGATTTCCATATACGAAGTTCACTCAACACCCTGTGTACAAACCCTATGAGATTGGACTGAAAAATTCTCAGTGTTTTCTAAGAAAATGCTTGTATTTTCTCACTGCTCAAATTGACTTTGATGACATGAAATTGCTATCTGGGGGCTTGTTAGTCAATACAGAGGAAAATTAGTGAACTTCGTATATGGAAATCTTTCCCTGGTCTGAAAAGTGTTTTCTCAGTAAACATTCAAAATTTGTCCCTGCTAATTTTAACTTTTTAGGACATATCACTTTCTGATGGCTGATAGGTCATTGATGGCCAGATATGGGAATCTTTCCCATTTTTCCTTCAAATTTTCCAAAATAAATTTTGAAGCCCCAAATTTGTTTGTTTATGATCAAAATTGTTCATTTTAGTTAGGTACCTAAGAGAGTATTCATTTTTTTTCCTTTGTAATCAGTGGCTTTAGAGGTATTTTTTTAAGGGAAATCTAGTCCAAGAACCTTTCAGTTGATGATAGTCTGGTTGTAGCCAAAAATCCTGACATTGAATACTAGGTCAGGGAACCAGAATATTCCGAAACAATAGCTGTTGAAAATTGCATTACGGCTGCCGTAACGATAGCCACTGCATTTTTATTTAGATAAGCCTACCTCTAGGTTTTTGGTAATTTGGTAAAATGCGACTTTCATATAGGCCTACCTGTTAAAACACTGCGACTAGAGACGTGTGAGTCACAGCAATTCAGACGCAGTCATCATTTTACCCCATAATTTTCTTCATCATTAAAAACCCTGCCCTTTTTCTACAAAATTAAGCCTGCTGGTATTCTATGCATTATTTTAGGAGCCCATTCCATGTAAGTAATTATATATATTTCAGTTCGCTAAAATACCTATTGAATGTCACGATTAACCATAGGGGATCAGACTAGAGGTGTACTATTGGTCTTTTAACCAATAATGACTTTTTTTTCACCAAGTGAACCTTTTCTTTAATTGCTCACAAAACTAAACAATTTTCAAGGTCACTGATATCCACGCTGCAAAATTCAATTGAAAATTAAATTCACCCAAATCTAGCAGATTTTTATTTGTCAGAGAGAGGAGGTGTGGACAGACGCAATGTCTTATTCCTCGTTGTGGATGATCTGGCTCCGGTCATCTCAAGCTATGGAGGCAGAGCCCTGACACCTAACATTGATCAGTTGGCTGCACAGTCGGTCAGATTCACCAACGCATATGCACAGGTATATTTGAGGCATGACATTTGATAATTCATGTTTTATAACACAAGCCTCGAATTTACCTTTTCTACCCGCTTACCCAGCACTTACCCACTCCAACATTTAACTTACCCATTTTCAAATCTGACTTACCAGATTTTATTTTACCATCAGATAGACAATGATTACATTTTAGCATACATTTTCTCCACTATGCAAGAACTGTACGTGTAATTAGTTGAAGTAATTTGGATTTGGTTTTGAATGACCAAAAATATACAGTGTCATTCAAGATTACATGTACTTTGGTCAATTTAATTCCATTGTTGACTCTGACAATTTTTAAAAGGCACCGTGCGCAGTGAAGACGAAAGGCACTGACAATCCGAATGGACACTTAGTTTTATGTTTTGGGTCTTAAAAATAATACCTGAACATTTGGATATAAAATATAACACAGTTAAACTGACACATTAATCCTTTCATTTATTTACTGATTCTTTCACTTTTTACTCACTCACAATACAAGGCAAAGCCATATTATTAATATTCATTATTAATAATCAGCATAACCTTTTACTCAAAAAATGATATGAAAAAATTTGCTTTTGGAAACTTGTCAAACTTTTTATTGAAAATTCATAAATACCTAAGGCCAAAAAAAAAATAAGTCGGTCTCTGGTCAGCGCGCGCGTCGATTTTAATCATGCGCGTCAATCTTTTTTTTTCCCAAAATGTTCCGCGGTAGCTCCAACAGCGCCCTCTATTGCCGCACCTCAATTTTTTTTTACCAAAGAGCACCAAGGAATGGGCAATTGCACCAAGGCAAATGATCGAGGGCACCAAGGCAAATTATGGAGGACACCAATGTACATGAGGACACCCCAAAAAAAGCAAAATAGTACCCCACCTTGTCTGTACAATCCAAGCTTGAAAAAAAAAAAAAATCCGCGTCGCTGCATCAATTCCGGAACTTTGGTCTGACCAGAGACCAAGTATTTTTTTTTTTTGCCCTAATAGACAGTTTACCCAGTCATTTTGTTGAAGGGCCCGTCACGACGGTTTAAACAGCTGATAAAACACCAACTGGTTCCAAATATTGTCTCCTGCACTGCGTTCTGTGCCCCATCGTGCAGTTCGCACCGCACACAAGAGAGGCAGGTACCATAGATATAGCCAGAGGGGTGTTCAAGTAAAAGTTTTGTTGATCGATTTTTCAATTTCGTTGGCAAATGTAACCACAGTAGTACACTCTTTTAAACCAGTGTTGAGTTCATTCCAGTATATGACACCATGTTGAAATGGACCGTTTCTAAATAAAGGAAGTTCTATTTTGTCTCACAAAAAGATCACCTTTCGTGATGATCTACGAGTCCCGTATGAATGAACAGAAGAAGTAAATGAGAATAGATGATTAGAAATTGGAGGGAGCATGTTGTGAGTATATTTAAACATAAGTATACCCAGTCGGTGGTGGTAGGGATTATTCAGTTTCAGAATATTAAATTTGGCAAATAAAGGAGTAGTATGATCAAGGTAACCTGCATTATTTACAATACGAACAGCTTTCTTCTGCAACGTGAAAAATTTGTTGAAACCATGTACACTTGAAGATCTCCCAAAAGAAAGTGGGCCATAATTCAAGTATGAAAGAGTAAAGGACTTATATCACGTTAAAAGAATGTTTTTAGATACAACATTTTTCAAACAGTTCATAACCATGAATAAAAGTGAACTTCTGACCCTAATCATGCCCAAATTAACAAAGTCTCTGTAATTAAAACACATCACATTTTAGATATAAAACAAAAAAACTCAAAACAGAAAATGTTTGACTTTCATACGAGAATTTATTTGACCTTTTGCAGCAACCACTGTGTGCTCCATCTCGAGTGTCCTTTCTGACAAGTCGACGCCCAGATACGACAAAGACCTACAACAACAAAGGCTCATATTGGCGGACAAACGCTGGCAATTTCACCACACTACCACAATATTTCAGGGACGCTGGTTACTTCACTGCAAGCATCGGTAAAATCTTCCATAATGGTGGGTTTAAAGTTTTGCTAGTGTCATTATTTTGAATTCTTGAACCGTGTTGTCAGTTGCTTAAGCCATGTTTTCAGGTAAAGATATAGGAGTTTCATTCAACAAAAATGTAAGGGTCTTAAACTTAACCCAACTGCCTAGACATTTTTGCTAGTTACCTAGATGCACTTTTTTTTACCTACCAAGTTTCAAGGTACATCAAGCCCGATGTAAAGTAATACTGGCTGGGCTCTACCTTCCTCAATCCTGAAAAATCCTCCACTATGCAGAAAACAGTGGCACATTTTGCAATTTACTCTCATGGGAATCAAGCCCTGTAGACCTATGGTCAGTGGGCTCTGCCTTTCTCAATTCTTCAAAATCCTCCAAAAAAACTCTTCAGTGATTTTGAGGATCAGGGAGGTTAAGGTTGTTGCAAATATTTCTGGCCGAGTTTCAAAAGAAAGGAATCAAAACATTTTTGTTATTGTGCCCGGTTGGTACTATTTTCTGTTGATTGATTGTTATTGTGTTTGTCTGTTCTTTTTTTATTATTCAGCTCCAGTCTGTGGAAAAGACAATGATTTCCCCTACAGCTGGTCTGTACGCCCCTATCATGCACCTACAGAACCGTATGGGTATGAAAAGGTAAGCTATTTCTTCAAATGTCTTGGAATAAAGAACTCACAGTACAACTTGTTTTGAAGTCCATGTGCGCCCATTTCGGAACTTGACCCTTGGCACAAGCATGCCTAGTCCACTGTTAGTCTATCTCTGTTGTAGTCGAGTCCATCACAAGTCCTCACATGTCCATCCAAGACGATTAAGATTTGTGTGCCATAATTCACAGGTTTGCCCAGGATCCGATGGGCGGCTTCATTTCAACCTGCTGTGTCCAGTCAACGTGTCCACTCAGCCTCTCGGTTCGCTACCGGACATCCAGACCACTGACCACATCCTAGAGATCTTCAAGAGTCTGTCCGAGAGTCGCCAGGAAGCGTCTGCACCCCACCTGCCGTTCTTCTTGGGGATGGGTTTCCATAAGCCTCACATCTCCTTCAGGTAATGGCCCCTCCCTGTCTGTCATTCAAACGTTACGGCCAAATCCTCAAAGGTCCAATATTAACCAGTTGAGGTTGGGTTTATTTTGACAAGAATGGACCGAGGTACGGGTTTAATATTCACGCGACCGCAATGCCAGGCGGGTCAAAGCCATCACCCTGGGGCTTCAGAGTCATATTTCTGGCATCGGTCTGGGGCTGCGGCTCGCTGACAGATATTTTCCGGTCTCTGTCGTGGCGGGTTTTTCAGTCATCCGATCTGACTTTCGTAAAACTTCTGCGTGTATACACGGCCTCCGGCGTGAACTGATTAACGGATGTTTGAGACAGGTGGACTCTTGTGAAAAAAACACAAGTGCATGATATTTTTTTTTATTGATTCCTCAGGTACCCCAAGGAATATTTGGAGTTGTACCCTCTGGAGTCTGTGGATAAAGCCCCCAACGCATTCTACTCCCAGACCCAACCCCCAGTTGCTTGGAACCCATTCATGGATGTCAGACGGAGGGAGGACACGACTGCACTCCACTTGCCGTTTCCTTACGGTCCCATGCCCGACAAATACCATGTGAGTTATGTGAAATGTTTAATCAGTAGGTTTTTTTTAATCAATGTTGTTACTAATTTGTGAAATGCAGTATGTGAAGTGCCATTTCATATCAACTTCATAGAGCTTTGTACGGTGGACCGCGATCTAGCCCATTGAGCGTCTCTCTCCAGAAAACGAGGACTTGCAAATTAGAACCTAAATACAGTCGACTCTCCAGTCCTGAATCCTCCAATTTTAATAACGATTTTGCACACCCCATAGGGAGTTAGGGTTGATACAAACTCCGTTAATACAAATTCTGGTTCAGCAAACGTAAAGCCTTAGTCCCAACTGTGCATATTATGTGTACAGTGAAAGGGACCGACGTTCCACGTAGTACAAAATTCTGATATAACAAACATCTTGGTTAGGTCTGGCTGAGTTTGTAGTAACAAGAGTTGACTGGTTATTGGAATTTTCTTATTCTTGAAAAAAAAATTGTCATTTCATTTCACTAAGAGCACTCAAATTAAGGGAAAAAGACTGGGAAAATTAGGGTTGTATTGTAAAAAAAATGGGCTGTTCATCTGAAGGAATATTATGCATCATCTCAAAGTCAAATTTACAGGCGTCTGATCTTTTTGAACATAATTTGTAATGACCAACTATTTTTGCAGACGTTCAGCTGTACAATCTGTTGAGTTCAAAACCCTAGGTTTGGGGATGACACATAACACACGCGAATTTCATGGATATAAGTCATTAAATTGAGTGATTTGTTTACAGTATCTGATCAGGCAAGCATACTACGCCTCAACCACCTACATGGATTATGAACTGGGACGTGTCTTGGCTGGATTAGAGGCGGCCGGGTTTGCAGATGACACTATCATCAGCTTCATCTCCGACCACGGTGAGTTTACTGTTGTATTTTGGTGCGTAATTATTCTTAAGATTTAAGTTGTCTGTAAAGTGGCGTATCCTGTGGGGGTAGCGACAGGGGGGAAACTTGCCTCTCGGTGACATTGGCAATATTTTTTTCTTTAGTAAGGTAACGAAATTTGCAACAGGCAACATTTCACAGCCAGCATTACTAGTAATAATACGCCGTCCCACAGGCATTGCTCAAATAGTGTCACCTGACCCGCTGTTGCGTCCAAACTGTCTGCTTTGAACAGCTCCCCCAATAGTCAGATTGTCAAGCAGGCCCCCCCCCCCTTTTTTTTAGTTTGCTGCTGTCTGGTTTCTTTTTCAGAAAAGTAACCCACTTGTCCCCCTCCCCCATGGACCCAAAACATGTATATGGGCAATTCCACGGTTACTCACGTAACATTTTTGATGTACTTTTGAGTTTCCTTGGGCTGTAATTACCTTACTGAAAAGGTTTAATAACTGTTATCCCCATGGTAGATAGAGTAGACCTAGACCTACCTACCTAAGCACCAAAGATGACATCCAGAAAAATGGGTTATGTATGATAAACAAGACGCACAAAATCGGTTACTCACGTTACGAAAATGTAACGTGAGTAACCAATTTTGTGCGTCTTGTTTATCATACATAACACATTTTTCTGGATGTCATCTTTGGTGCTTAGGTAGGTCTAGGTCTACTCTATCTACCATGGGGATAACAGTTATTAAACCTTTTCAGTAAGGATATTACAGCCCAAGGAAACTCAAAAGTACATCAAAAATGTAACGTAACCGTGGAATTGCCCATATGCTACTGTGTCTGTACTGTAAATAGAAGACTGAAATTGTAGCTAAATGTTAGCAAGGGGGAGGTATACTATGACAAATTTGTTCAGGTTTTTGTTCTGTATGTGTACAGGATGGCAACTTGGTGAGCATCAGGAATGGTCCAAGTTTAGCAACTATGCCACAGCCACGAGAATTCCATTCATGATCCACGTACCAGGCATAACAGACACTGTGAAAGAAGGCTCCAAGAAGCCCAAGTTTCCTCTAAGGGATCCGTTCTTGGAGTACAAGTCGACATCGAGGGTTAAAGGGAAGAGTAATGCAACAGGCTCGCAGGGAGTGTTGGTCAGCGATGCTCTGGTGGAGCTAACAGATCTATTCCCGACCCTTACCGACTTGGTACAATTACCTGTGCCACCCCTTTGTCCTGTCAACTCATCCCAAGTCGACACTTGCGTGGAGGGTGTTAGCCTTGTTCCAGTTATTATCGATACAGCTTTGAATCACTCAAGCAGGAGTAGCAAGTCCTGGAAGAAGGCAGCCTTCACCCAATACCCTCGGCCCTCCGACACCCCCCGACCTGACAGCGACCAACCATCCCTGGCCAACATTACCATCATGGGATACTCCATGATCACAGCCGATGGCTACCACTACACGGAATGGGTCGGCTTCAATAACGTCACCTGTGAGATGAATTGGAGCGACGTCCACGCGAGAGAGCTGTATATTCTCCACTCAGATCCTTTGGAAGATACCAACGTTGCCGATGTAAAGAAAAATGAACGGCTTGTGCAAAGACTATCTAGTGAGCTCCACAAAGGGTGGAGATATGCTCTACCCAAACAAGTCTAACAACTTGCAATAATACAATTTATGACTGTGTGCAAACATGACAATACATTTTTTAACAAAATTGCAATGTTCTTAAAAATAATAATATGGACTTATTTTATGTCAGTACTCTAATATATATCGTCATGGAAATGTCGACATGGAATTTTCGACCGGTATATTGTGTCACATTTATATATCCTGTTTTTATATCAAGAAAACTAAATTGAAATTGCTAACGTTTTAATGGGTCAAGAAAAACTAATTTGAAATAGCTAACTTTTTAATGGGTCGAGACTTGTTCAATTATATGGAGAATGACACCATTGCAATATCCTTACAAATCTAGCATATTTTGTTTGTTTCAGGAAAACAACTGTTCTTTTACTGTTATAGCAGTTGGCTGATACTAGTGCTACATGTATGTGTGCTGGTTTTATCTCACAGTATTCTGATCATATCATCTTGTTTTTAAATAGTATGTAGATTGGTACTTTGAAAAGTATATTTAATGTTCACTTGTAATTCCCACTTGCAATGCCTGACGGTGGCCAACCTAGTGCTGTCAAAACTAATTGGTGCTATTATGGAGGTTATTGAAAACTGATAAAAAAAATCATCTTTTATGAAATAGTATGTAGATCGATATTTGGAATAAAAACGTCTTTGTTTACTTCAACTAATGTTCACTTGTCATTCATATGCGGTCCCATTCTGTGGTGCTGTAAAGCAGGAGTAAACCAAAACACAGCATTTCTGTGGTGGTTACCTTTAGGGCATGATATAGCTACCTTGTGAAAAGAACTCTTTCATTAGAATGATGAACGTGATATTACCGTGAACTTAATGGCACTTTATTGCTATCTCTACAATGTGAGTGTTCCACAAGCATTGACAAATGGCGCACAGTGTATGCAGAGGTTTGGCGTACATTTTGGATACCAGAATGTACCATTCATCCACTTGACGTACGTTCATATGTCTGCCATCAGAGTGCCCACGCTTGAATCTCATGGACAGCGGAAACACCGCCCTCTACCGTCCTCGCACACGGGCAATACTAGACACCATCCAACATTTCTGAACACCGTTTTGGCTCGTTTACTGCTCCGTTTTCAGTTTCAGGCTCCAGATCTCGTTGACACGGACGTTGAAGCATCAATCCCATCATGCATTAGCCGAGGCAGTCTCGGCATTACTCGGTTGTCATCTGGGCATGTAGCTGGCCACTTCATCAGGCTTGAGTGTCTGGTCTACCCCAGGCAAAGGGGTGTCGTCAGACAGGGACTGAGTGTAGCCGTTTTGGAAGAGGAAACCTCTCTTGCACGCCTCAAACGTCATGAACATCAGGCCAGCATAAGGAATAATCTGTGGACAACCAAATTGATTTAATAATTTTCCTATAATATTTATTCAAAAAGTTTCCTACGCATCATTAAACTAGAAAAATGTGAACTTTTTTTCCTTCTTTTTGGTTGGTCATCAAAGTTCCTCATTAGGAATGCAGTTCAAATTAATTGGTGCACGACAATTGAAGTCAAGTCCACAACTGGTCAAATCACAAATCAATCACAAGTCAAGCCAAACTTCAAACCAAATCACAAGCCAATCACGAGGCAAATCACAAGCCAAATCACAAGGCAATCACAAGAAGAATCACAAGCCAGTCGCAAGTAAGGTCACAAGGTCCAGGCGATAACGACAAAGGAATCCTTTTTGTCAGAGTTCATTTGAATAGATTACTTGAGACTGGACTTGTGTTTGACTTGTGAGGCCTGCAATTCTCGCGCGCAATTCACAATAGTTTCTGTATTTTTTCTGATCAGCAACTACAGAATTACCTTGCAAAGATTTGCTGCGTTTCCTCTCCAGTGCCCCTTCATTCCGTACATGTCAGTCGTCTTCCTGAAGGCCATTATCATCCCCCGGAACGGATGGATGTCCACGCCCCCTCCATTCTTCATCACAAAGCTTTGGGCCTGAACAAACCAACAAACCAATAGCAAAATTCAAGTTAATAGAATTCAATCTTAAAATCCTTCAACTCCCATCTGATTAATTTATGATAATCTTTCTCACATCATGTTCTCATCTGTTTTCATGCGTCTCCTCCCTGTACCTAAGTAACTTTGGATGAATTCTTTGACGGTAAAATAATTAATACATGTTCATGTATGCTTCTTCAACTGAATGAATAAAGTTAGTGAAGTAATGCCCTCAGTTTTAATACTACATTAAGAGGGACTTTATTTTGTTTTTGTGCAGTTACGGCTGAATTCAAGTTTCAGCAGAATGCTCCAAGAAAGTAAACCAAAAGTTTTTCCACCACACTTTGCTGGAATCTTCCCATTTTTTTTTCTTCAGATGCTCCCCTGTTTTCAATGCTTCCTAGGAAGTTTCTTGGCAGGATCCCAGATTTGTCTTTGTAGTTCCTCAGTTTCCTGACCCCACAAAGTAAACCTGCATCCAAGATTACTTGACACTTTTGTACCTGGAGCTTTTTCCTGACAGTATCGAAAGGAAAGGACAAGGTCTGTGCAAAGGCTGCCGCCACACATCCATTGAAAAAGTTCTGTGCAGGGGTGAGCATGTAACGTGGACAATCCCATATGGAGTCTAGTAACTCGTAGATCAGGAAGGTACAGGCACTGAAGGGCAGGGAACCTGACCGAAGAAGGTAAACAAAACTTGTACATTTAAAAATTAAAATAAAAAAAATCTGTTTAAATAACGTGGTTGAGTGCGTCAATAATACTATCAAATTTATGACAAAATACAATTACGTGTTATTTTTTAATTAAAGGCAATGCTTTATGGGCATGTAATCTAGAAATTTTAACACAAGCTTTTTGCAATCTAAAAGTTTGACATCTTATTGCTTCACTTTAGACTCAAGGTAAGGAACTTTTTGTTGTCTATCAAAGCTGTAAAATTCTATAAACAGAAAAAAACTGGTGTACATCAAAATTATGCACACTGTAGTGAAACTTGGACAATGTTGAATGGGACTCATGTGATTTCAATCACTGGAAAAAAATGTTGATCCATTTTGGGACACGCCCCTTTTCCCATCCTCTAGACCCCTCCCCCTCCCTAGTTACAGTGGAAGATGATAATATCATCCCACCTAGTAATGACACATAGAGCCCTTTATAGAAGGCCAGCAGCCCTTCCTCCTTCAAGATTAACTTGAAGGCGTGGACAATTCCTCGGTAACGCCGTTTCCTCTTATCCGTCGACTGCACAATCAGTCGCGTCTTCACCATGTCCGTTGGGTAGGTCACTACCGTGGCAACCATTCCTCCCAGACTTCCGGCCAGCAAGGCCTTCGGGGGACTCATCCGACCATTCTCATCTGCAAGCTTCGACTTGAACTTGTAAAACGCCGAAAACTGTATGGTGCTGAAGGGGGACAGTCGCAGACAACCAATCAGGTTCCCTTTCCAGAATGCCCTCAGGCCCTGAGACTGGTACAAGTTAACAAATGCCTTGAGGAATCCTTGTTTTGTTTCCCTGGTCCCAACTTGAGACAGGATTTTGACCACATCCAAAGGGGCAGTGAGAGTTCTGCTGGTCACGCCTGCTGTAGTGGTGCAGGTGAAAGTCTGCAAATAAGTCAACCGGTGGTCTCTTGTGACCCCTCCCATTATTGACAAGCTAGCAGACAGGCAGAAAGTCCAAGTTGACAGCTCAGGCAAAAAGGGGCTGGCCAAATCTTTTGCACGTGCTAGTCCTACCGTGTTGAAAAGTTCATGTTGTCTGCAACTGGTTTGTAAAATTGTAATCACGACCACACTACCCTGCGCATTGATAAGCAGATATTGTTTATCCCCGAAACATTGATTTTGAAGGAGGAAAAACAACAAAACCCAGCAAAAATATACAGACTAATTTGTTTTAGCTGTATTTAGAAATTTGGCTATTTATTATCCGAATAATGCAATATTATGAACTATTTAATATAACGTAATAAAATGTTAGTCGCCGGATCACAGATGCATTTTGGGAGTTTAGCATTAAATACCAAGATGGCGGCCCCCATGGTGTTGGTTTCGCAAGACGGGATCGTGAACGTAAGCATATTGTGTTATTTCAATGTCATATTTACTACTGATTTTGCAATGGGGAGATCGGATTAAAGTACAGGGATGTAATAAATATCGAAACAATACATTTATGATTTATTTTCATGCGAGAACTTTGAAGTTAATTTTCAATACCGACATGACTGACGGTATGTGACGTCGCGTCCATGACAGCGCGGTAAGCGCGGCCTTCCTCCATGGCGCGGTATATAGGGCGGCGTACGCGACGGCATGCAGACCTGTCTGATGATTCCACCTGTACGCAAAACATGGTGTACGGTACCACGCTTCTGTTGCATGTACTACACGTACTTACAGACCACGACGCATTTTTCCCACAATAGTCAAAATCTGTTCGTACCATTTTTTATACTTCAATCACACTTTGAAAATGAAATATTGGAATTATTTTTTCTTGATTTCCAGCCAATAAATCGTGTTCTAAATGAACCAGCAAAGGAAGCAAGTGGCTTTTTGCTGGGCGTATCCCATGAAGGTCATACCACTCTTCTCATGTGCTCGGCTGTCGACAAATCATGTGATTTGACAAACACAGCAGATTTAAATAATGAACTGGAAAAACTACATTGTCATCTTCCTGTAGGTAGGTTCATTGTTATTATGAGCAGTGATTCATTGTTTTGTTTAATTTGTTAAAGTTTTTTTATACAGTGAAATCTCGACAAGTCAAACCTCAAGGGAACAGGTTCAAAATATGACTTTGGCAGAGTTTTCAGTTAAGCAGGGTTGTATATTATTGTTAGACTGCTGAAGGCAATGGATTCTTTATTTGACTAAACAGTTGTTTTGAGTTATCAGAGTTTGACTTATCGAGATTTCACTGTAACTAAATTTGACATGAGACAGGTATGCAGTGGCAAGTTTTGCCATAGTATTTGCAACTTGCAACTTCGAAATTTGCAAATTTGAAGAAGCACAAGCCTGTATTGGTAAACAACTGCTTGCATATTTTTTTTTTATAAGAAACCGGATTTGAATCAATAAACCTTGTATTTATTTTTTATTTTGCAGGAATTAATGTATGTGGCTTGTATTTCATGTCATCAACATCACCCAGCCCCAAGAGTGTCACCCAGTGTTGTAAAGAATTCATAGATGAAACGATAAAGGTAGGATTTTCTTGTTAATTGTTTTCAGATCTTGATCTGTTTTGAGAAACGGGAATAGCACTACTGACACACTACTGATATCTTTAGCATTTTTTCAAGGAAGGGGGACACGAGAGATTGAATTTCAAATTCCCAATAAGCAAGTACTTGTAGCTCTCTTTGCTTTTACCTGCCCTAGAGATGCCTTTTTACTGTCCTTATCACTAACCCCCAAATACCTGGAGAATAAATTGTGATGATGATGATTGTAACAAGAGTGTGGTCTGTCCTGATGCAAAATAACAATTATTGTTAAATCTGTTTCATATTTCAGACTACCCTCAACACAGACAAGTTGATCATCGCACAGATCCATAAAGATCAGCCAGCATTAGTTCCAGACTGTTTTTACCTGTATGATGTCAACACTGCTGAGGCCAGTCCTTGCCAAGTCCGATTTGGAAACGACATGGGAACTCAGGAGACTGATTTGATGACATTTAGAGTGCAAGGAAACCTCACGCTAAACGTTATTTATCATGATGACAAAGGTAAAAAAAAAAAAGTTGTTTTTTGAGTGAGGTAATGTTGGACGTTAGTTTATTTTTTTTTAGTTTTCGTACGCTTTTTTTGCTTTTATTGTTTTTGCAAAACAGTCAAATTTCTTTCTTTAAAGGGAATGTACAACATTTGCTGCGTGTTTCAAGTTTTGGGCTCGTAGATGCTGGAAAAACCATGAAAACCAATCATGTTCTTGTAGTCTGGTTCCCTGACCCAACATAAGATGAAACGGAGCAATTTATAGACTTTGGGAAATTGTAAGTGCAGAGAATCAGTCTAGCAGGCTTTTACCCCTTCACAGGTGTGTAATCAATTGCAAACAAAATGCGGAATAACTAAATATGACAAATTAGGGGCGGTTTTTGAAAAAAGTCAGTTTTCTCCAACGCTGGTCGGCCGACCAGCGTTGGAAAAATACCACTATTCTTGAAAATGTCAGCACACCAGGAGCCATGATTTTACAGGATGCTGTTAGACTGTCATTCCCTAACAGTCCAATAATGTATTTCATGATAATTTGATCATTTTGTTTTTTGATGTTTGCAAATGTTGTATCTTCCCTTTAAGAATTGATAAATAGTTTTTGAACAACAAAAAAAGTTCACAAAACTTATTTGTTATATTTTTTTGTCATCGCTGTACTGACAGATTTGCAGGAAGCCCTCACTCAGAAGTTCACCAGCCTCTGCAACAGGGTCCAATCATTCACAGCCTTGTATCACTTCCAAAAGACAACCATTCTGATTGGAGCAAGCAGCAGTGACATCACAGCAGGGCCCCTGAACAGGGATAGCCAAGCCAGGGACATCTGCAGGCACATACAGGAGGAAGACGACGGGTTTGGTGCACCAGCTGTGAAGGGAGGGAAGAAGGTTAAAAAGGAAGACAAGAATGCAAATCAGGTAATTTGCATATGGGTGATTTGCATATTCAAATCATGGATTTGAACTGATGAGGAATTCTTGGGCTCAACTTTGTAAATCCTTAGGTGGCTAAAAAAAAGAACTGCACGTTGAGGGCATTTGAACTCAACATTCCATGATACGATTCTCAAAAATTTCATACACATCTGCTTTTAATGCAAACCCCAACATTTCTCTGTTTTATTTCATTTCAGGTCCTGGATGTTCAACTGCTGTTCAGATTAAGTCTGGATGAAGAACAGGAGGGATCCGCTGGTCTGGTTCCCTTTGTGCACTATCAAATATGTGAGTTCTGAATGTGGATAATTGGTTTGCTGACTTAGTCTGGTCACTAAATCTTCTGTTACATGGAGTTTACAGCTACCCTTAGGCAAGCTAACTTTGCATCTCCTAATGAGTAGAATACTTGAAACGAACCATCTCAAACTCATTTCAGTGATTCTAGTGTGTCTGTTAGAACTGTCCTGTCTTTTGAACAAACTATTATCAGTTGTGTATTTGTTTATTCAATTTTTTTGTCTGACTTTCATAGATAATGAAGAATGCAGGCGGTCCAGTATGGTTCTACCCATCGATGTACCAGTGATTGTGCACAGGACCACATTAGCTGTTACATTAGGAAAACTCTTGTCAGATGGAGTGTGTCGCCAACTACGTGCAATGGAACAATGTTTGAAAGACCACTTCAAGGTAGTTGAGAGCATGTAGTTGATGATCTGAACTTGTAAATTTCTTTTTAGTCCTGTAGAAAATCAGATCATCCAAAAATCTGTAATTTGGTGTTCTGAAAATATGTGGAAAATACCATGGATGCAGAATAAAATACTGTATTTGTGATATATACAAACTATGTGTTTGTACGGTTGCTTCGGACCACTTGTCAATTATAGTACATATACACATTTGAAGTTTTAATTTTTTTTAGTATTTTTGTTCTAATTTATCTGATATGTATGCCATTATCTGTTTTAGATTGACATTTTCTTAATCCTTAGCAAAGTTTAAAGACTGTTACTTTCATAAATGTTTTACTGTTCATTAACAATAGATAATCAGTATGTGATAATTTTTTTATTTTTTTTGTTAATCAATTTCAGGAGTGTGGTCTAAGTGTACCCAGACCCTACCACTTCAAATTGCCGCAAATTCCAAACCTGATTACCGTTGTTTACCCTGCAGACTTGCCAGACGACAAACTAGGTAAGTTAACACTTACGCCAAAACAAAAATAGTTCTGCTTCTGGTTTCCCTACCTACCCTATTCTGACAGCCCCTACCCTAATTTTTTTATGGGAAAAATTAGAAAAAACACCCAAAACCATTAATTTCTACCTTTTACTCTAAACAACACACAGACATCTCCATATGATCATACACAAACAAAAGTGGCCCAAAAAAAAATGTTTTTCCTTAATACCTACCTGCCCTATTTTCAAATGCCATGTAATCTGAAGCAGGACTATTTTTTGTGGCCTTACACTCAAACTCTTATAGTTAGCATGAGAAAACAGTTTTTCGTAAAGTGTTTTTAAAAATGTTATTGTGGTAACTTCAACCACCCATCCTTGCTTAGTATTTCAATTTCGGATTTGTTGTGCTCTTGGAACGCATCTGAACTTGTTAATAAAAATTCTTGCAGTTATCATTTGATTGCCTTCTTTTTCAGAATCCGCACGGCGAAGTCTTCACAACCGATTCCTGCTGCCGTGGGACAGACCTGTGTTTAGAAGAGCTAATGCATATTCATTCCCTACGACTGCCAAGAACGGAGGTTACCTGATGAACACACACATAGGCCTACCACCGTCTGGAGGTATATGACTATTCAAAGAATTTTTTGTTTAACCCTAACCACACCAAATCCATCAAAATCCATTTTCCCATTTTGGGGGTTTTGGTAGGCAAGCCATGAGTACCAAGTCCATCAAGATCCACCTGTAGTAGTGGTGGTCTTGTGGTGGATTTAAGCGGCTTTGGTCCGAATGCATTATGTGAAGCAGGGTCAGTGATGGATTTCGGCGGAATTAGTCCAGTACTTGGTAAAAGACACTAGGGAGTTGGGGTTAATTAAATATATTTTTAATCAAAATTCTGTTTTTGTATATGCCATTGATATTATGGTTTTTACAAGTGTGACTTTTATTTTCTGGCTATTACCCCCTCCAAATAAATAAATAAATAAATAAATGAATAAGTACTGAAAAAGAAATTGGATGTCTCAGAGAATCCTAAATATTCTTCAAACTTTTCAATGTCTCAAGATATTCTTGCAGAACTGATTGTACTCTTGTAACACCGTTTCCTTTCTTTCAGTGGAAAACGGTCGGACATCCTTGGTGCAGGGCACCTACACCTACCACCATTACATGCAGGACCATTTCAACGATGACAAATGGGGATGTGCCTACCGCTCCCTGCAGACCCTCGTGTCCTGGTTCAGGCATCAGGGGTACACGGAGCGGCCTGTCCCCTCCCATAGGGAGATACAGCAGGCGCTGGTAGACGTCGGTGACAAGCCGGCTAACTTTGTGGGCTCCAGGCAGTGGATCGGGTCGTTTGAGGTCAGCACTGTGCTCAATCAACTCTTTGCGGTGAGTGGTCTCGGAGTTGTGGTCTTGCCGTCATACGTCAATCACAAGTTCATCACAAATGTTTTTATTTTATTTTGAAGTCAAGTCACAGTAGTAAGAAATTTAAATAAACTGTGGCAAAGGCCTCTGTTGATACTTCCCGTTCCCCTCCCCCCAATGTTGCTCCCCCAAAAAACCAAAATAAAGATAGAAAAGAGTTTTAGAAAGGAAAAACCCTTGCTTTCACTTGAGATTTTTTTTTAGACTTTTCTTTCATTTTGCTTTCTTTTTCTCCTCAGGTTAGTAGTAAGCTGCTGTACGTCAATTCAGGGGCGGAGATTGCTAGCAAGGGGAGGGAGTTAGCCCTTCACTTCCAGACACAAGGCACGCCGGTCATGATAGGTAAAGCAAAAATAAACTGAACGACATATTGACAACAAAAATCTGTGTTGGTATTAAGATACCAATTGAGTTCAAACGTTTGATCTCAACACAAGAATTTTCTGGATCTGAAATTTTTGACCGAGGATCCTACTGAAGAAGAACGGAACTCTTGCTTGTATTTTAGGTACGGAAAATTCTTGTGTGGAGATCAAAACTTTAATACTCAATTGGAAAGGAAAAAGACAATCTTCTAAAATGTGTAGACACAATTTGGAAGTTTGCTTTAGATCCTAGTTTTATTTTTTTCACGTTCTATGGTTTTAGGTGGGGGTGTTTTGGCCCATACCATCCTTGGTGTGGACTTCAGCGAGACTTCAGGCGATATCAAGTTTCTTATTCTGGATCCTCATTACACCGGCAGTGAGGACTTAAAGGTCATTCAGGATAAGGTGAGAGTTTTCAACAATTTTTTTTGTTTTTGACCAGTTTGTTTTTGTCAAATTTTACAACTTCAAAACTACTTGATGGGAATTTGCCAATTAGAATTGGACAAGGGGATGAGACAGGATATCAAAAATAGGTTCCCAAAATAAATGGCAGTATTCGTCTTGGTTGAGAATGACCATTGTGATAAAGTGTACTGCTCAAGAACACAAGCACAGCGTCATCACATTCATCCTACAAACTCTGGCCAATTCTGAAATAATTGAATGGTACCCTGAGGTCTTTTATTGTTCCTATTCCCATGCAGGGCTGGTGTGGTTGGAAAGGTGTTGACTTCTGGGACCAGACTGCTTACTACAACATGTGTATGCCTCAAAGACCAATTGAGTTTTAACAAAACTTCATTTTGTACATAAAGAAGGTCTATTCTTTCTTTTTCTTTCTAGCCCAACTTTGCCTTGCCGATTAGGGCCAATTATCTTTTACTTTATTCCAGAAAAGTCCTTGTGAGCTTATTTCATATGACAAGAGTACAGCCATATTGTCGCCATAGTGATCTTATACCCAGAAGGCATATTGGCAAAGATATTGTGTTTGTCATCACATTACATGGCACCTGACTATTTTGCATCTATAGCTTCACTGAGTGTTTATGGAAGAAAATAAAGACAGCTACCCAAAATGGTGAATATTGAACAAGTACGTAATAACTTGGTCTAGTTTCCAGACTCTTTTACAGGGATTTTATTTGGTTAAACATTGGTTCACTAACAACAAATCAAGGTACCTGGCACCCGATTTATTGGAACTGCTGACAGTTAACGGAATCAGAATAACAAAGTAATCTAGTAAAAGGTTGATTATATTCTCATTTGCACATATGTTAAAATGCCAGTGGTAATTTCATTCTCAATTGTATTCATTGCAATTCCACTTCAACACCACAATTATCATGTCATTTGAAATGCACAAGTTGATTCGATAGCATTGCACGAGGGAGACACATTTTGGAACTTTTTGTTCTTAAATTTGAGCATGCAACTTCAAGTTTCTTTTAAATCTGGGTTTTATTTCAGCTAAGTTTTATTCAGTCATCGCCACGCTTTTTTTGGTGTTCCTTTCATTTTGCATTTTTATCAACCGTATTTCTCAACCACACTTTAGGCAAGCCTTAACAATGCAGAAAAGGAAAAACAACTCAAATTCTCTGTTTATTTTACACTTTTGTTGAAATGTTTTTATTTCATAATTACAAGTCGATACCTACATACAGAGGTTAATATAAATAACAACTTGGATACAGTTATTCCCCCTTTACACGTGTGTCTTGCGTGCTAGACAACTGGACACACTTTGTCTCCAAGATTTACTGTACAAAAATTAAGCAAAAAGAAAAAAAAATCCACAAAATGAAGACTTATTTATCTTCCAGACACAAGCCACATTTTCTGTTTCAATAAAATATGGTCACATATCAACTTAACATTTACAGGATTTAGACAACTGGGGACATGATAATAAAATGTTAATGAGGATCACCTTTTCTGAAGTCACCAAGTATGATTTTTTCCCCTATTATAAGCAAAATCACATATTTGGTTATTTTTCATTGGTAAAATGTTCATGCTGCGTGAGCAGTGGCTTTGGTTACCAGCCACAACCACACAATTGTATTATTGGAGGCTGGTACTTTGTTTAGCACATTATCCCTGACCTCACTTTAATAATTTTCGTAATGCATGTATGTACTTTTATCTCTTCATAAATGAAAAACAGAAGAATACTGGGAAAGAAAAAATTAAATCATGTTTTAACAATAAACATTCGTATATGTATAGAGAAATTAATGAAATCAGAAAAACAATATTCCCCTTTGATTTTCGTTTGTTTTACAAAGTAACACACACCGCGTATCAAATACACTCCACTAATTTCAGCACGGGACTGGGGCATAAAATCAATTTCTTTGTGTGTTTTTTACATCTCGTTCTCTTGTTCTACTTTCTAGCCAAACAAGATGTACACTGATTCACTGTTTAACAAATTTTAATAATCATAGCAAAATTTTAAATAACTTACATTTTTTTTGTTTTATTAAATTATTTGTGGAGGACTCTTAACACCACTGTGTTGTGTTCTTTTCTTTTGCTTTTGCTTTTTGTTTTTAGGGTGGTGGAAATCAAAAGTAGCCTTCAAATATTCAAAATATCAATAGACTACCTTATTATGTTACCTTTGTAGAAAGATTCAATTTTTAAGTGCATTTGTGCAAATTTAGATGTGCATGATCCGCCAAAGATCACCAACAAAAGGCAGAGAAATGTGAACATCTCATGTTTAGGGGCAATTTTGTGGTTTTATTATGACGACATGACGTAAGTGTAGATTTAAAGTTTACCAGCAATACCTAAGCATCCACAGTGCAGGTGTCAAGCCTGTATGTTTAACACAATGTATACAAATTGTATGCACCATGTATACATGATGTATACAAACGATAAGCAGGGAGCATTTGATGGTTAAGTACATGTGAGGTTTGATGCTAGTGATCATCAAATTGGACACAGAACATCCCCAAATGTATCTTCTACAAAGTATCACAATGCTCTTGTTCGAACAACAAAAGTTCTGCAGCTTTCTTGAATGTGATGTTTCGTCATGTGGTGTTACAAAGCATAATAAATTGCAACACAAAACTTTGATTCCTTCATTTAAGTTGGGAAAACACGGAATTTACATCTTACTTGAGGTTCATTTATACGCTTGGAAACTTATCCCAGGTATATTACGCGAGCAATCGAATACACACTAATTATTTGGAATCTTACACTTCCACAGTGTGCAAGAGATGACATAATTTCTTTATATTACATAATAAAACATTTGTACCCAGCAACAAAAAGAAATAAAAAAAAAAACGAAAATTAGTCAAAAACTTTGTAAAGCATTAATTTTTACTTCTTTTTTTCGCACCTTAAACCCGCTACATTTTTGGTTCAGTCAAAATACTCCTAGCCTCAACCAGTGACCGTTTTCATCACAAAAACCTCTTTGCAGAATTCGTCTCCACACAAAGTAACAATTTGTGGTTTTTCTGCTTTCTTATGAAAAATGTCTTGTTTACATCTACTTACATAAGGAGGAAGATGTGACAAATGTTTGGGGGAGTCTAGGGACTAGATGAGGGACCAGACTAATAACTGGTGCTTCATTACGAGGGGGGTTGATGGAGATGATCGTGGAGGATTACCGGGTCAAAGATTCTGCCAGCTTTGTTCACATATGGCAGCGACTTTCTTCTCGTACTCCCGTCGGTTCTCTTGGTAAAGTTGGGCCGCCTGGCTGTTGGCGGGACTATTGGGGTTGGGCTCGTCAAGTAATGACTGAGAGACAATTGAAAAAAATTAATGAGGACAAAATATATTGATCAAAAGTCTTGTGAGAGCAAAATGGTTTGCTAGACTGATGTACGTTGAGACTTGTGTACAGTAAAATTTGGCACGAAGTTGAGGGTTCGATTCCCCACCGAAACTTGCTTGAAATACCATTATGGTAAGGTGGCTTGTTAGAGAGATTGATTTACATTCTTACAATTGAGAGCAGGTTCGAACCCCACCATGGGACACTGTATGTGAAACTTGGTCAAGACACCTTTTATACAAGAGGTTTACTTTGAAACTATGAGCATTGGCAATGGTCCACATGGTCGATTACATTTCAGAGTGCCTGGGCCTGTCAAAGTTTGTGCGCTCGCTATCAAGGGCACTGAACCTAATACAAAAATATGCCTTGTGATTGGGTAACAGTATCATGTAAGAGAGACAGTTGCAGAAGAGTAGAGAGTGTTTGGAACAAGCATACCTGTATTGAAGTTAATATTGCAGACACGTCGTAGGTCGGACTCCAACGATTTTGGAGAATATCAAGACAAATACCACCATCTGCATATACTGCAAGATTAAAAAATTGAGGAATGCCAAATGGTATTAATAATCATATCAATATTACAGTGAAGCAAATGAAGAATGTGGGAGACAAATGGGTACCGGTTAGTTTAATGGAGTTGTGATTGGTGGGGCTGAGGTTCGAATCAAGGGAATTCCATGACTACAAAACAGCTGCCTCCAAGCTGGCTTCATATGGGAAAGTAAACACCGCCTACATAAATGTATCAACTCATCAGTCTTATGCTTAGAAAAGTGATTTTTTCTGTTATGAAAATAAATAACAACAACTTACCATTAGGATGAAACATCTTAGAAATAAATCTGACATTTGGAGGTTTGTTTGGGTATTCTTCTGTGAATTCAATCATCAACTTGAAAGTACCTGTAAGGTGAAAAATGTTACAAATAATTTCATGTTTTCAATTTGCAGTCTCTTCAACCTTAAGATCTAGAAATCTGCTAAAATCCAAGACTCGTTTTTGCATGATACAGGACTACATGAAACCATTTTTTAATATTGATATTTGTATTGATTATTCAATGTAGTGATTATCAATGAATACATTTGTTTCAATTTTAGAACTATAAAAAGTTTTGCTGCCTTGGAACAACAAACTCAATATGTGACACTCGGCAGCAGACCACTTATAAAGTGCATTTTATTTTAATGAAAACAAATAACAGAATGCTTACCATCTTCAAAAGGTGTGTCTGCTGGCCTGATAAAAGAAAATGAAGCAAGACAAAGAAGAACAATTACTTATAAGAATTCAGAAAACTACTCGACAATAAAAATGCAATTTTGTGAGTTTATGGAAATACAGACTTAGCATTTTACCCCCACTGTCTCCCAAATCTTTATAAAAACTATCAAATGATTTGGAGGAGGTAAATTTAAGCACAATGGACGTAGGTAAAACTTTTTTTCCCCCATTTCATAGGCCCTTTCAAAGGTTTCCTTAACATTGTAGGATTTTTGAGAGTTTGGGAAGGTTTGTAGCAAAGCGAAAGGCTTGGGGTTTGGTCTCAAATATAGACAACTTACCCAAATATAACAGCATTCCATATCATAATATTATTTTCTGAGGGTGCACCGCTCACGCCAGCTGGGGGGTCTTCTTGTAGTCTGTTCATTTATGACAAATGAAAGTGAGGAATACATAGTTATTGTCAGTTTCATCGAGAGGCCCAGAGAGCCTGAAAAACTGAACCAGCAGATGGAACACTGTACAGTTGACTGTTGTGGCAAGTTGTGAAATTCAGTTGTCAAGTCACAAACTATTCAAAATGAACAGTTACAAAGTCATTTCATTTCACTGTTTATATTACTTGTGACATGACTTTTGAACTATGATTTTTTTTAGTTTGACCTCGTTTTATCATGTCCATCATTTGTCCACATGAGAACGAAAACCCACTCTTAATCTTATGTTTCATGACTTAGGCCTTAGAGTTGGCGATGATACCAGCAGGAAAAGTCACTTAATGTAATACTAATTCGCGAAGAAACGATGTTGAACAGGCTTTTTATTTTGTAGAAAGAGGGCAGGGTTTATGAGAGAAATTTAATGAATGGGGTAAAACTTTGAGAGGAAGAAAATGGTCTGAACTACTGTGACTCACACGTTTCTAACCGCTAAAACAGCTACAGGAAAGAAAGTCGTTTTCGTCCTACAAAATTACGCAACAAGGACTGATCATAAACAAAATACCCTAATCTAAATAAAAAGAACTGCTTTTTTTAGGCAGCAATCATGGCAAATTGCAAAAGACTTTCAACAAAAACAGTCATTTTACTTTTACTATTTTAGTTTGCAAAACAAAAGTCATTCTTTTTGGAAGGAACTAGTAAATATTAATACAGGGTGTCCTTAACTACAGTTTTACCTCAAATTTAATTAAGGCCCACAATTCGACTATGAAAATTAACTGCAAACTCATTCCAAATGTATTTAGAGTTCGACGCCATTTTGATATACCGCACGATTACACTGTGCTACAGTGCTATGTAAATCATCGTTATAATTATTGTTGACCGGTTCAGTCTGAAGACACTTTACAAAATGATACTTACTTTCTGAAATCTCTCATTAAACGCCTCCTTGCCGGAGTAGACATTTTAATTAAACAATAACCCCAACCCTGATATCTGATTTATACTCGGAAATCGTCCGGTATGACAAGGAAAAATCAAGAATATGCCGGGATCTCCCGAACCAGAAATGCACTCCTACACTATAGTGTTGTCAAAGCTGACGTCACTAAATTTAACCATGACGTCTCGTCTTTTATTGCGCCCTCTCTTGTCTGCTAATCGGTACACATACACATGAAGCCACATTGGAAACGAAGCCGAGCTTTAAAAAGGGGGGCGACAAATATTTCGTCATGTTTTATTTTTACTTTTTAGCGCAGCCGCGGTTACTAAAAAACTTGTCTGCATGAAATTTTCAGCAATGATTTGCTGAAGAAACACCCCCTCCTCCCTGCAAAAATTCCTGGATTCACCCCTGAAAAGAGATATTTTTCCGATTCGTTTTCGAAGACTGTAGTGTAAATTAATTTTCGGTTCTCGAAAACACTTTCGATTATTGCATGTATAATTTTATCAACAATTTTACTCTCAATTTAATATTAATGAAATTACACAAGGGATGTACCCATGAAGGCCCCGTAGCACAATGGTACTGCGTCTGACTCCAGATCAGAAGATTGCGTGTTCGAATCACGTCGGGGTCAATTTTTTTCTCCTTTTTTAATTTTTTTATTTAAACCGATGAATAATAATGATTAAGGCTAACACTGGCCATCAATATTCTGTTTTATTCAATTCTAGTTTACCTATCGCGTTAAAATCGCGTCAACACAGTTTGTGAAATACTGTCCAATTACATGATTGATACATGGACACGGAACACGCAAAATCTGAGACCGACAAAACTTTTGTACAAAAACTAATTATCTAAGGGGCGTGGCTCATCAGGCTATCTCGACTCGCAAACGGCGATAGGTCAATCGCGATATTAAACTCGATCGAGACTCAAAATACATTTTTGGCTGAGTGTATACATGGATGAATTATACAATAAGTAATCTCAATTTTTAGACCCCCACAAAACAATAGTTCTGCTTACAGTGGCGCACCCCCCGGGGGGGGGGGCGCCTCGGCTTGAGCCCCCCCCCCCCAAGAGGTTGTCAATTTTTTTTGGGGGGGGGGGGTAATTTTTTTTAGTCCCACGATTTTACCTAATAATTTAACATAATTTTACCTTAACCCTAAAGGGCCGGGGGGCGGAATCCGCCCCCCCCCCTCAACATTTCCCGTGATAGCCTCTAAAAAAATTTTTTTCGCGACCCGAGCTGTTATGACTTTTTAGCCTCGAGCTTTGCGCATCTTTTGATACCAAAAACATAAAAATCGGACCACGGGTTGCCGCGTAGCGAAAAATTTTCCGGCGCTACGCGTCGTGAAAACTGAATTTTCGCATATACGTCGTGTACACAGAGCAGAATTGCCATTCATACATATGAATAATTAATTAGCCATAATTCCAAAACCCTTTGACCTATAGTCATGAAATTTCTTGGGTATGTTTAGGAAGAGTTGCTCTATGCATGTGCCGAGTTTCAAAATTTTTCGTCACTCGATGGCCGAGATCATGGGGGGGGGGGGGCCGAATCCGCCCCCCCCCGGCTGAGAGATGATCAAAATAACCCAGCCCCTTTAGGGTTAATAAAATGGGGTGTAAGTGGCGCTTGACCAATGTCAAAATAGTCCACCTCCCCCCCCCCCCCCCCCCCGAGAAAAACCTCCAATTTTTGTCTGCGGCCAGAAATTTTGGGCAACATTTTCTGAAAAAAAAATCGAGCCCCCCCCCCCCGGCCCCAAACCAAATCGTGGGTGCGCCACTGTCTGATCTGCTTACGATTACATACAAAGTCATGAGGACATTTGAAAATAGGCTAGGTAGGTAGGTTGGTAGGGATTTTTTGGCAATTTTCTGTGTGTGATCATCAATCTGAGTTAAGTAAAGGGTTAAAAGGTAGTATTTAATTTTGGGGTTTCGGGGTTTTTCTCCCTTTTCCCCAAAAACAATTTGGCTAGGAGCTGTCAAAGTAGGGTTGGTAGGGTAACCGGAAGCAGAATTATATTTTTTTGGGGACTTATGATTTTAAATAATGTGCATATTTAGATTTTAAAAAATAAGAAAAAAAAACTTAATTAAAATACAAATCTATAAATGTTTCATTACTGAAATTAAATAAAACCTAATGTTCTAACTTCAAATTATGGCCAAGTCACCATGAGCGGAAAAAAAAACTTAAAAAAAAAGTTATCCTGGGTGAAAAAACCTTTTTTCAATTGGGGGGGGGGATCTATGTGCCAAGTATAGTCTGAGTCTCATGTCATGCCATTTAATTAATAAGTTATTCGGTCAAAGTAGCCACATAAACGCCAGTCAAAGTACAACTGCACACATTAAGTCGATCATAACAAATCATCCGAACCGATGTATCTGTTATTTGCTACTTTAATCATGAGCTTTAATACACAATTCAATTCATCTATTTGTGCACGGGATCGTGGAATTAAACGGCTCGAAAAGAGACTACTTCATTGCAACGTTAATATGTCATGGAATTTCCTCAATTGCTAACATTGGCTCTGTGGCGCAACGGTAGCGCGTCTGACTCCAGATCAGAAGGTTGCGTGTTCGAATCACGTCAGGGTCAGACTGTATTTTTTTTGCAAAGAAGAGTTTTTGTGTTCTTCCCGTACAGTAATCGATCCAATCAATTACAACATTTATGACTAGTTAAATCATTTTCTTTCCCATTTCTCTTTTTTAGAAGCCATTAAATTCAGCTCTTTAGTCTTATTTGATGTGTCAGTGTATGTAACTTGGAACAGGGTTGCTGAATTTAAGCAATAAGTGTCAAGAAGTTAATGTTGATTACTTATATCCAATTATTATCGATTTAATAGGCTGAACGTTGTTTAGTTAATTTTTTTTTCAAGCGATATGAAATGTATGCCCTATTGGTGGCGCCCTACAAAAACACCAGAAATATTCATTTGTTGGTATCCGGCAGGGGGCTTGGCCAACCGAATACAAAACAAACGAGACAGTGAAATAACGTCGAGCACCTGGGAATATTCCTACGGCCAAGATGGCAGCCCTGTGCAGATGAGAATTTTCTGCAATGTTCATCGGTCGGAAATATTCAATTTGCAGGTCTGTTCTTCGAGGTTAGCCCCTGTTTTCACTTCTGAAATAGCGAATTAAAGGAATTTATTGTAATGGCAGCCGAGGCTCAAGCTGGCGACTTGCCAGAAACGAAGGAAGATTCGAAAGGAGTTACGCCTGCCAGTCCTACCGTAAACATGGTGAATGGGAGCGGCACGACCAAAATGAAATTTGGTGTGTTGATTGGTCTCATCGAAGTAGGGGAGATTTCCAACAGGGATGTGGTCGACACTGTGCTCAATCTTGTAAGTATAAAAGTTAAAAGAGTAATATGTAAGTTTCAGGCGCTAGGCCTACTTGAAAAAAGCGCCCTTGTCAACCGGTAAATAAAAATAATAATAAATATTTGTGTCTATTTTGTGTTGTTTTGACAGTAGCCTATTTATTTTAAAGCAGGTTTTTTTTCTTTCTATTTTACAGAAAAAAAAATTGATTGTCAAACATATTGTAGGCCCTAACTCTAACTGATTGTTATGTTAATGAGAAAAAAAATGATAGTCCTACCATTCCTCGCAATAAAATTATGAACATTTGTATTGTACAAACAACCAACTTCATCTTAGGCCAAAAAAAATTAAAAATTTCTGCTTCCGATTACATGGTATTTGAAAATACATGAAATAGGGTTAGGAATACTAGGTAGGGAATTTTTTTTTAGGCAATTTTTTTTGTGTACGATCATATGGAGGTGTCCGCGTGTAGTCAAGGGTAAAATGTAGTAATCGATTGTTTTTGGATTTTTTCCCTCATTTCCCCCCCCCCCCCCCCAAAAAAAATAACTAGGGTAGGGGCTGTCAAAATAGGGTAGGTAGGGTAACAGGAAGTAGAACTATATTTATTTTGCCTTATGAATAGCCAAATTGAAGTACATGTAGCAGGCCTCATAGCGAAACCTTTAAGTCAATATTAACCTATAGTACATCAACTAGGGAGCCTATTTTACATGTAACGATGTATTTTTGTTTAAAGTAACCTTCATGTATAACCTATACTAACCTATATTTTCATTCTGACGAAATTTCAACAATTTTAAAGAAAATTTTAAGAATCAGTTTGCCCCCCAAAAGCACAGTTTAGTTATCGTTATTCCAAAATAATCATGTTGTTGTCAATATAGGCCTACCTCTCTAAGATTTGTTACAAGTTTTTCAGAATTTGGCAGTTGCATGAAATTGGTAACTTTATCTAGTGTGGAGAACTTGCGGTAAGCAATTTGCCATATTTCTGCTATTTCATACTGGAATATTGCATGATTTTGCATTCTAAAACACCTACATTGTATTAATGCCTATATTTTAGCGCTTCAAACTCTTTAAAAGCCTAAATTTTGATTTTCGAAACCTTTAAAAAAAAATTGATGAAGAGGGGTGCTGTGAGGCCTGAAGTTGCTATGTTGAAGTAAAATTATGTCTATTTTGGCATTTTACTAGAAATATTACTTATTTAGTTGTGGTACTTTCATTCTAAACATGGTATTACAACGCATTCATCTGTTCATTATTTGTTACTGTGTTGACCCCTGAACCCTGTGCTGCAAGTAGCTCATCTGCAAAAACAGATACATAATAAATGAATAAATACATTGTATGAGTTTCAAAGTTTTCTTCATCCAACAGGTGGTATATGTCTTTTGTATAGTGCACCCCCCCCCAAAAAAAACACCACAGGATAAGGTTTAAACATGATCAATTTCAGCACCTAAATATAAAATGACTGCAATCAACTCCGTCTTCGGTTAATACTAGATCATTAGGATGAGAGCTTTTACAACGGTAAATAATATCAGAACTGCCTGTTCAAGAATGAAATCTAAGGACAGACCTTTTTTTCAGCTGTGAAAAGTACTGTGTGAATTATTATTCATTTGCATTCCACAATATAAGAAACATGGTCAAATTACAAAATTCTCCCATCAAACAGAACCCTAACCCACCTCAATCCTCCAAAATCCTTGTGGTGGTTTTGGAGGATTGAGGATGAATGGTATTTGAGAAACATTCATGAGGATATTTGAGGATTGAGGATGAATGGTGTTGAAGCACATGATGAGGATTTTGGGGGATTGAGGATGAATGGTGTTTGAAAAGGAGGAGGATTTTGGAGGATTGATGATGAATGCATTTTTTTGAGGCAGGACTGCCTGACGATTTTGAAGGATTGAGGCGCTGGGTATCTTTCATTTGAACATTTATAAGTGGAAACATTAATTTTGGAGGATTGAGGAGCATAAGAAGGGCCTGTGGAGTTAGGGCTAAAACTGTTAGGAATTACTCCAGAGCAAAGGCACACTAATAATCAAATACTTTCCCAATACTACAGCTCTGGAATCTAATTAACTACCATCTGTTCACCATTTCATTCACCAGTAATCTCATTTAATCCTGTACAGGGAGATTAAATGGGATAATCAGCCTACTAAGCTGCTTAGTGGTTTAAAAGTACATGGATTTGTGAGCGGTTGTGTGAGCAATTGTGTGGGGAGCACCAATTACTTCAGTTGTTAGAGCATTACAAGTCAGAGCATTACAAGTCAGAGCATTTTCTTTGCAATTCAGTTTGCCTAGAAATCACAGCTGTATGCAAATTGCTGTCTAACTGTCAACCCACCAATCTCTGAAAAGTTTTTTCCCATGTATTTAAGATCAACATGTTTGTACAAATGAAATGTATTGATGTATACAATAGACATGCAATGTACAAGTACATAACCAGCCACTGCATATGAAATTAACTTTCCTGATCGAAACTCAAACTTAATCTTCATATGCCAACATCATTACATGAAATTAAAAGGGGGAAAAAAGAACAGGTTTGGATCGTCAATTATTTTTGTAAACAATCCTTTACTCAATAAATGCCCATCATGTCCATTCAAAATCGAATAATAATCCCAAATTATTGTGAAATAACCCTCCATAAAGTCAATATTTCAAGTGTTACCCTCAAAGACTGAAAATATCATACTCATTATTTATCAAGGGTATTCTGAATATTCTCCATTTTCCTATAATTGTCTACATGTGTATATTCCACGTTTCGTCCTTCATCCCAATGAATCCCTATTTCTCTGTAATTGTCAATTCTTGTAGTAATCCTCATTTATTGTACTGCACTCTGGGAGCAAGTTTCTTGTCAATTATTTACTGACCATTACTTCCCAACTCATGTTTAATGATGATTGTTACCTTGGCAACCATGAATGCAAACCGACCTTTACATGACAAGGTATACGCCACCGGGAAAATAGGAATTCCTGAGAAAAAAATTGAGGCCAAATTATTAATTAGTAATTAGCGCTCAAGTACACTTGTACACGTGAACCGGTACATGCACAGTCAGACAGTGTTTTTCACTGCGATGGCATTGTTCATGTCTGTCGTTTCATCAGCGCATCGTGCAAAAAGGTCGAGAACGATATTATTGATTTTGTGCAGTGCTTGGTGGCTGTGGTCGTGCCGAATGTCGCCACTTAATCAGTTGGCTTTGATAATGAGGATCAGATATATGTACAGTGTACATACGGTAGGATGCCTAGGCCACATAAAAAGCTCAGCAGTTTAAATTATGTGGAAAATTAAATGTGGTCTTAAAAAAATACCGGTAAGGGGAAAAATGCTTACGGAAGAATGTACATGTGCTGTAAGCAGGGTTCGATTTAGAAAATAACAGTTACATGCACAACTGAAGGTTTTCCTTGAAAATGGGCTGAAAAACAGAAAATTTTACATGCACAGGCAAAATTTTACATCCACAGAGCCAAGTAACATGCATCTGTGCAAAAAAAACCTCTAAATCGACCACTGGCTGTAAGCATTCAGTTCTAAAAATGATTTTCTTAAATGTTAGTTTAAGAAAATAAATGTTTCAAGAAAAATTTTCTTGTTGCACTCCCTAAAAAATATTTCCATGGAGTGAGACAACAGTTTTCTTGAAATAAGATGTTTTTCTAATTTTACAAAAAAACCCTGTTTTGAGCAGGTTTTTTTGGAGCAATGTCATTTTACATCAGCATACTTGCTTCATTAATGTATGCATATCATCTAAATGTACTTAATTAAACATCCAAATACACATTGCCATGGTGTTTGAAAAGTACGGATGTGGTAATTGTTCTATGGTTTAGATGATCCAAATCGTGTAAATAAAATTAGACAGTTTAAATTTTTTTTGTAAACAGTTGTTGTAAATTAACCTTTAGTCTTTTCTTAGAGACTAGAGAAAAGGATTTAGTCAATATCGTTCCAATACAATGTGCATTGCAATTAAGCATAATCCCAAAAGATTTTTTAAAAATATTTGACTCAGAAAGAGAAAAAGTGTCATTGAAATGCCTAAACGCTATGAAATTAAAGTACATAAATTACATTAATTTTAAGGAATTAATTACTAAAAGATGAGGGCTGACCTACGATATCTCTCGGCCCAAAAAAACGAAACAAAAACCTCACTCTTGTTAGGACATCCTTGCCCACTTTTAATTTGCCAACTCACGTTTCTGGTCAGTCCATCAACAAAGAAACGCAATACGATGGATTTAGTAACCCAAGCTGACAAGAACATTCCGATTACAATAGAAGGACCAATGGCTGTAGTCCAGGATGCAACGTTACCTTGGCAACTGTCAAGAGGCTTTTGACAAAAGAAAGCACTTATCAGAAGCACCAGTCTAATTGGGTGATCGGTCATCCAATTTTTTTTATACAGTATTGTAACATGGTAGGCGTGTGATTTATTGAGGCGTACATGTACATGTAATTTGTTCCTAAATAAGTAAACAGCTTTGGATTATACATAATGTAGATATTGATAATTTATGGTTTGTGCATGGTCAGTGTCTGGGTCTCAGTCTGACTGTGTGCACACTACCTTTGTATGAAAGTGAATGAAATCCAGTTAAAACAGTAGGCCCTAATTATTAAAGCATCCTTTTAAATGTTTTGTTGAGATTTATCTCACATTGGATGGGTTTACAGTGTCGGTGCCAAAATAAATTAATGGGATATTAACCCCAACTCCTGAGGCGTTTCTGCTAGGATGAAGCCTCAATCCTGCAAAATCCTCCAATTGGCCTTAGGGAAAAATAGCCTCAATCCTGCAAATTCCTTTTTCTTGAATATGGTCTGTGGAGGGGTGACCACTGCCTGAATCCTGCAAAATCCTGCGGCAGTGACTGTCAATATGTTGAGGCTTGGCCAGTGACATCCTGGAGCAGTACGGAGGATTTCACGCATAATTCAGGCCTATA